CGTAGCTAGGTCTTTCACTAACTTGACAACTTCACCCCAGTTTCCGTCGGTGTGAATAAAAACTGGGAAAGTCACGCTGCAAGGAACGGAAGGCGAAATATCACCACGGTGAGAGAAGAAAACACGAATCGTTTTCAATATATTGGGTGCTTTATTCCCGGATTCACCTGGCACGATCTTGAGTGGTAGAAGTAAGAGACACTTGGGAAATCTTGGCTGCTGCTACTGTCTTTTCTCACGACAGACTCACGGATCAGATTCTTCCTTTGGCCAGCGAGAACCTCGGCTATCTCTGTAACTGTCTGGACATCTCGAACGCGACTCGTGATTCTCATCTCCGACTGACAGCTCGCCACCCGTAAGGCCAGACGATTCCAGCATGCGGATTAATTATATACACCCACGACTTAAATTTCCTAAGTTACAGCCGTTTTCATCTATTTAATCTCTTTCCTTTTTTATCCACTTCGTGGATAGCAAGTGATTGCTTTGAAGTCCGCATATCTCGACCTTACTGTTGGTTGTTGCAAAAACAGGCACAGATAAAATAACTTAAAATAATCATACATATCATAACCTTCTTATAAACTAAGTATAGTAAGCCGTTACTGCTACAGTGAGCCCGATCCACACCGAGTTGCCTCAAACATGTAACTTTGTTACAGACTAACCCAAGTATTCCGATATTGCAGTGTTTAAAATTAGTCTTGCTTTTATTCGTTTCCTACTTTTTTCTTTCTTGTCTCTTTCCTTCTCCCCCCAAAAAAGAAAAATATTCAGCGAAATAAAGGAAAGAAAAGAATTCGATAAAAAGAAATAAAAGAAAAGTTAGAAAGCTTAAATTAAAAAATATCTTATTGATGAAAAATGCCCACGTCTGGTGGATTGACACGTCGTCACACGAGATTTATCTGAAAGGTTGGCAGACAAAAAGCGAAAAGTATTTTGTTTGGAAAAACTTGAAGGAAAAGCACTTTTCTTTGTCGCCTGATTGGCTGTCAGTTTAATCGGAGATTCCTAATGTATGACTAGTTTCAAGACGAACGAAATTGGATAATATCATTGATAACCAGAATTTAAACGTGACATTCTATGAGAGAAACGTTCACAATAAACTTGCAGCCAGTTAATGGGCGAAAACAATCGGTACAATTTCTTTACTTTTAAGAATACCCCGTCTTTTTTTATTTCTTTTTTTATTCAATATAGCCGCTTGAAGACTAATTCAAATTCTCTTTACTCTATATGCTCCTGGCGTCAGTTTAAATTTACGCCATCTTTTCTACCCATATACATAAACGATTATTGCAAACTATAAATTTGGAAAAAGAAAACTCCAGGGAAATGCATTGAAAAAAAAATTGGGGGGGGGGTAATCGGAATCATCTCATGTAAGGAAGTAAAGCCACTAACACGTAAGAGGTTACACAGTGTGGAGGAATTAGGAACAGAAAAATTACTAATCAGTAGAAAGAGAAAAGAGTAATCAGGAGGACAATAGATAGTGATTGACTTTGCATTTAAATTTTTGCAGATTAAAGATGTCTGGAAAGCATAGAGTGCGAGAAAAGAAACTGTTAGCATAGAATTTACCGTTACATCTAGACATCTCAGCTGGCAATTGATGAGATCTCAACGCCAGTCTAGTACTGCACTTTAATTCATGAAGTCCAGGTACCATAGTGAAGAGCTCATCCGAACACTTACCATGAAAGTATTTATAAAAAAGGAACAAAGAGGGAACCTTACGGCGGTAGGAAAATGACTGAAACTGAGCTGCCAGATCAGGACCAATAATATTGCTGATCTTATCAAAGAGCTCAAGGTAAATATCAGGGGCACCGGACCATATGTAGCAGCAATATTCTAAGCATGGGCGAATGGTAGACATGTAGATATGTTAGATAGATTCTGAAGAGAAAAATTGTCTCGTACAACACAGTGAACCTACTTTCTTGGCAGGTGACCTAGCAATGGATTCAATATAGTTTGTTCCACTTAATGTCAGCTGAGAAAGTTATCCCGAGGAGGCGCAACGGGTCACTATCCTAGAGGTTAGCATCAGCTAGAAAGATGAAAGGCAGAGAGGAGCTTCACAGATTAATGGAGATAAGTTTAGTTTTGTAGGTATCAAAATTAACAAGCCATCTTTTGTCTACGTTAACGAAGGACTGGAGGTCGTTTTGGACATCGGCTGCCATTTTTAACTTTGGCAGAGTGATCAGCCTTGCTATCGAGGCCAGAGTAAATGCTTGTTTTGTCAGCGTAGATGCCAAGGTCATTAATGAAAATTTAAAACAGAGTAGGACCAAGGACGAAACCCTGAGAGACACCCACGTTAGTACGAAAGGATGTAGACGAGTGGCCGTTCACGATAACTTTCATTTCGCGATTTGATAGGAAAGACTGGATTAGTTTAGAAATGAGTCTCGAGACACCATAACCGTTCAGTTTGTAGAGAAGACCTGAATGCCAAACCCTGTCAAAGGCCTTCAAGTTGTCCAATGCTGCAGTCCAGGTTTCAACGTTTTTATCTAGAACATGATAGATTCTTTCCGCAATTATCGTTAGCACGTCAACACTTGACTCGGAGAAACAAAAGTCATTGCTTGTCTGAGAAAAGTCCCTGCGATGAGAGATGCTGAACATATTCCGCATTGATTAGGGCCTCTAGGAGTTTCCCAAAAAGTGATAAAAACTCATAGGCCGATAGTTGGAAGAATTGGACAGTTCACCAGAATTCTTTAAAACTAAAACAGACGATGACTTCCAGTACTCGGGAAAGCAGGAGGCAGTGAGGCATTTATTATACAGTTTAGAGAGAACAGGTTCCAGTTCGGCTGCACAATTCTTAATTACTATTACAGGGATACCATCGGGTCCACATGCTTTGTAAGGATCTAGGTTATAGATGATAGCAGAAACCATGGAAAGTGTTGTATACATATCACTCAATAGAGAATCAGTTCCAAGTGGGAAGTTAGGCAGGGATATTCCAGATGAGTCAAGAGAAGAGTTTGAGAAGAATTTACGGACAAAGCATTCAGCTTTATCAGCAGAGGATGATAACACTTCAAATCGATTGAAGAGGGGAGGAATAGAAACCTTGCACTTATTTAATACCCTATTATAGTTTTCATCTGAAATACAAAATAATAACGCGATCTTTAAGCAAAGTGATCACAATATAGACCTTAAAGAGAGTATTGCCGTCATATCTGAGTTGGAGCTAATTTTCATTCTTGACAGTGTTCAAAAGCGTCTACACGGCCTGATCGGTGATGAATTATTTTCCACCCTACAACATCTTTCCCATAGACGAAACGACGCAAGCCTCTCGCTAACTCTATCGCTATTCCCATGGCAAATGTCATGGATAGCTTCATTCTTTACTTCCACCAGTTCAGACTTTTACAGCTAAAAGCCACCATACCACGTACACTGGAACGAATCATCTTTATTCTTTTCGTATTCCATTAGTAAGGAGGAAGTTTCACTCAGCTTCTTCCCAAAAACCGTTACTGAGAGTATTCTTCCCCGATCACTACAATCTTAACCTCTTCAAGTCTAAATTTCAAAGTACCTAAAAGAGGAAACACAGAGCTTTACAATAATATATATATATATATATAAGTTAAACCTAGAGAGCCAGACAAACCTACCAAAGTTTTCACCTAAGCGGATCGTCAGAGAAGCCTTCACTGACGATCCGCTTAGGTGAAATCTTGGTAGGTTTGTCTGGCTCTCTAGGTTTAACTAGGTCTGCTCTACTTACTGTATCGAGCACTTTATTTAGTTATTTTGCTTACTCGTATCGGTTTTTTTTTCTTTGGGCTAGACGATTATTTTTTTCTTTTGCATGCTAGACGATTATTTTCGGCTAACGTACATGTTCTTGGTTCTTTCTTTTTTTATACCTTTTTTCCTTTTGGTATTGGTTTGATTATTTGCAAATCAAAACACTGAAGGTTTTCCGAACGAGTATGATTTCTTATACTTATAAGATTACTACTACTAATATATATATTTTATTATTATTATTATTATTATTGTAAAGCTCTTTGTTTCCTCTTTTAGGTACTGTTTGACATTTTTTTTCATGTTTTTCATGACAGGATATCGAAACAATGATGAATAAACAGGGGTTTTGTACCATTATATTCTACGGATTCAAACTCGACTTTTGCACTGCCGAAGATACCGACATCAACAGTGCTTGGCAGTGAGCGATTTAAGAGTCAAAAATATGATGTATTCATCCTAAGAGATATATGACCCTAATATGTGCTATGTTCAACCTAAGAGATATCAAAATAGATTTTCACGCCTTACAATATGCCAATGGCTGTCTCTGTAATAATAAACAATTGGTCGATCCAGCTGCACTTAGAATATGCCCAAGTGGGACAACCAGATGACAGATATATATATATAAGTATCCCACCCGAGATGGAAAAGAGAGAATCTCTCACATTCTCACAAGAAAATCTACGTTTGAAAAAATCCCCCAAAGCCACGCACCTATTCGCTGGTATTAATCGTTGAAAAAACAATAATTTTACGTATGCTAGATTTAGTCTTGTGTTCTTATTCGTCTTTACAACGCTAAAGTTGCTGCAGGATAATCAAAACTGAGTCTTCATCTGAATCGATAGACTCACTCCCGCTTCAACCTCATCAAAACCACATCTTCACACGCAAAAGGTTTTTGATCGATAGGTGTTGTAATAAAATATTCTATTCCAGCCTTCTGCAACATGGTCAAAGCGTCACAGATGTTTCCTATTGTTATGACTTGGAACCGATGCATCAAAATTTGAAAAACTGTCGATCAGAAGTGATGAAGAGGGTCGTATTCTGTTACAGGATAACGCAAGGCTACCTTTTTTTTTTCTTTTTTTTTAAAAAAAAAAACTCAGCAAAAATCATGATCATATGTAGTTAGAAATCAAAACGCCACTTTAATCTACCCTACGACTACTTTCCCTTTCCAATTGCTTTACGACCATGTCACATAGAAACGCTGATTCTCGTACGATCGCAAAAGTTAAGCAACGTCGAGCCAGGTCAGTACCTAGATGCGTTACCACTTGGGAATATCAGGTGCTGATGTAATAACACCTATAGGCTGTTTACCTTAAAGCCCCCCAACCACTTCTTCTGATTGCAGAGATGGTTGGTAGGACTTAATATAAACGGATTCTTTCAAATTAAATTTGGAATTAACCCTCCTCAGTACTGAAAACATGGATTAAATATGCGGGTGGTGTCATGGATAACGATTCGGAATTGGAGAGCCAAGTTCCAATTCCAGTCACGTTTGTTATATTCACTTACGCACAAATACCTTTGGACAAGTTATGGATCTACTTCTGCCCCACCGACCTATGTACTAACTAGTACGACTTGTATCAGTAAATCTTTATTATGTCCCAAAATTCTTACAGTGTAAAAAGTATTTTCTGGTTTTAAATAACAAAAAAAGCGTTAATTAACTGAAAACACACACACACACACAAATCAATGTAAAACCTTTTCAATTACTTTTTCTTTGTTGAGATCTTTAAGAAGTATATACGCGTCGCCTGGTGTACAGGATCTGGTTAAAAATGTCTTCTTAAACAGATAAAAATAGACATGTTAAAACAAAAGACAGTTAAACCGGTTTATCAATCCTCTTGCATCAGAACAGCGACTAAAAATGACCACCAAAGATCAAAAGTTATATAAATACATAACACCTATAAGCTATTTACGTTAAAGCTCACCAAACACTCCTTCTGCTTACAGAAAGATGGCTGGTAGAACTTGATGTAAACGGATTCCTTCAAATGAAATTCGGAATTAACCCTCCTCAGTACTGAAAGCATGTCTCGGCTGCAAGAATGGGCACACAGCTTAAAAAAAAAGCAAAAAAAAAAAAACAGCAATCACCGAACCAGTTGTATTTACGCAACTATTCAAATTGTTCACATTGCCCTTGTGAATATTGGGTATTGCGTGCTGATTGATCCGTGTTTCCAACGTTTGACTTATTTTATTTACATATTCAAATATCAGTGTGATGTTGACTAACTCTAATTCTTTTCATGATTGATTCACTTCGGAGTTTTGATAACATTATGAAGATTCTCATATGTGCTTGAGCAACGTAGACACTATTTAAAAACCTCGAATAAATTTTATAGTTCAAAACGGTCCTTTATTTTAATCTTAGCTGACAGATTATAGCCAATATACCGGCCATCATACATGCAAAGAAACTTTGCTGCTTGAAAAGAAACATTTCATTTTTAATCACAAAAAAAAAAAAAAGATAATAGGGCAATAAAATCAAATATTTTAATTTATAATCAGTGTATCTCTTAGCATTATTTTAAGAGAATTTCCTTTATTTCTATATTTATGTGCATTCTATGGGCAATAGGATTTAATTTCTCCGAGGCATTACACTGCTGCTGTCTCTCGTTTCATTGATCTGCTGTTCCCTGTCCTACCAAAAACGTAATATTCTTGAACATGTCGACATCATCAAGCTTGGCGGTAACCAGTTTTCTGTGGGGAATTCGCCCAATGGTTGTCGTGATTCTCTGGGAGTTCTTCTGGTGTTGATTTATTGCATTTTTTATAAGATTTTATATATATAGATGGCGTCATCGACTTAAGATCAATGCGACATACGACTGTTCAATTATACGATCACAACTGCGAATTGCTATGTTTGGCTACGACTGACAGCGTGAGTAATTTCCAAGCTTGTTTACAGCAATTTCTCTCCCTGTTCCCATATCGTAGAATTTGTGAGGAGTAAAATAAACAAAACAATTCAAAGTTCTCCATGTTTGTGTGAAAAAAAAAAAAAAAAAAAAAAACACAACAACTCCACCGGCTACGCTCGGGACCTACCCCAGCTGACAACATCGACGGTTCACAATCAAGTACCAGCGGCTCTAATAGATTTTCGACTTGTATTTTGATGTTTTACAACTGTTTTCTGTTCTTTGTATCTCTATATTTTTTTGTATGTTTATCAAATATTAAACCAACTGTACTGTATTATTCAGTGTTTCACTTAAACCTGACGAACGTAAAAATAAAAAAACTTAATGTACACAGATTAAACAAATGGTATCAAACGTAAAGAAAACTCAAAAAATTATTTAAAAAAATATACAATAATGACTAAAAAAGATAAAATGATTGTAAAATTAATTAGAGACCTACTTACGGCCAAATTAATTTACGACCTGTCGCTTATAACAAATTGTGACGGATGAATGCAATTATACCAAACTCTTGATGTTTTATCTTTGTTAACGATATAAATGTTTGAGTGGTTTGATAATATTTTAAATAAACATGGCAAGAATTCTTCTGTAGGATTTGAGAAATTTTAGAGGACCGTAAATATTGTAATACTACACCGGAAGCAACTGGTTGGATTGGGAAAGATCCAGGTTTACTAAATCTTAATTCTACTTGGTTCAAATCTTCCTAAATCCTTGCCAAAACTCATCTAATGGCTTCTCCTTATTATTTTTTTTTTCTTTCCTTATACTCCTCGAAGCTTAACTAGTTTCCTTAATATTTTTTCAGTTTAATTTTAGTTCCTGCTTCAAATCATTAAAATATTGAACCATGGTGACCACCCTGTTATAAACTTATCTGGTTGTTATCCCACTAAAGAAATATGCAATTTTTCTTATATTGTAGACAGCACACAATAATGCCTATTGCCTCCTAAAATGGGGCGGTAGAACGTATAAAAATGATTATTTCATAAACTTATAGGTATCGATCTAATGGAAGAACTGTTTCAATCTACAAAATCTTACATGTGGACACCAATACGAAAACATTTCAAATTCCATCAGTAGTAAGACAAAGCCCAGTATATTTTGTCTTTACTTAGACTATTCCCTGAACATTTAAAAACACAGATGGGAAGAAATTGGCACTGATCATTTAAGTATTCTATACCACGTCCCAAACGAATCTACCAATAGAAGACAACATTCCTGCTTTCCCTCTTGAGGCTAATGTAATGATGATTAAGAGGTGGGGCAATGTTGATGGCATAGGCATTCATAGTTGGGGCCAGAATGATCTTGAACAGAAAATAAACATCCTCTACCAAGTGTTCCAAGAAATTGGAGTCAAAATAAACCTTTCCAAAGCAGAATCTATGATCTGGAATTAGTATGAAAAATGAGCTGACACATACACCAAAGTCATCATAAAAACAACGGGATGTGGAATTAGTAAATACTAAACACTTCAAATACTTTGGCGTATTGATCAGTTATAAATGTAGAATAAAGGGAATTGAATTTGGACGAAACTTCCTCAGGTTCAGCCTAACTGCAAATTACGACAAAATCAAATCAGCCTAAAAATGCCAAGTCATGTTCTTAAATAGACTCGTCAGATGGAGACTTTCGCATAGATCTCATGCATGACATTAAACCCGTTCAGAAATATCTAAATTGTCAGCTGTATACAACCGCTTTCTTAGATCAATGTTGAAAAAGACTGAGCAAGTGAAGCCTGGAGGATCTTGGCAAGGATCATCCTTCTTTGAATATTGTAGACTGGCGCTACAGAATCACAAAAAAAAATGCACTAAATGACATAAATTACATCATTTGAGGACTACCAACAACGGCAACAACAAAAACGGACAGCTCCTGTTACTCGAATCGAAAATGATGTCAGAATCAATATGTTGATATTCCACACTACTGCAAAAATGTTAGGAAGGAAACCACCATCAAGAAAGCGATAAACAGTTACCAGATTGAAAAATCTATTTTCCTGAAAAAATGTTTTAAGAGAAATATTTTACGAATTTCAACCAAACAGTACTGGCTGTTCGGTAAATACCAAATGTTTCCTTGTAGAGAAATGTCTAATTACCACACCTGTTTTGTTTTTACAAATATTAAATTTTACGGTTGCCATTAATGGTTTAGGTAGATATATACAGTTTTTAAACAACAATATGTGAAGTTGTCAAACTGTAGCTTTTTGGTGCCAAAACAGTAGTGACACTTTGAATGCTTTCTTATTTCCAATTTCAAAAGGTTGTCAAAGAATTCACTTGGAACAAGACAAGAAAATTTACAAGACTGATGGTTTTGACAAATGGAAAATATGTAGTGAACAAAACTTTTGCTTTAAATTTAAGTATATCACTTGGGTATTTAAAATTTATAGGTATTGTTGCCATATCATCTATGGTGCTTTGACTATCCATGATTATCAACAAAAGTCAAAATGTCCTGTTATTGGTCTTCTCGATTTCAGTCACTTTCCCACGCCCATGACATAGGTTCAGTCTTTTTTTTTTTTTTAAATATTTTTATAACAATTATGATCTTTCTTCCTTGGTATCTAAACCACATGAATCTAAGCATATTACTAGATTGATAACTAGGTTTTATCTTTTTACTGCCTGCTGAAATAGCTAGATATAACCTAATAAGCTCTAATTGTTTATTTTCTTGCACTTCTTTCCTGTGGAACTCTCTTCCAATTTCTTGCTTCTTTTTCACCTACAATCTTCAAAAATTTAAATGCAACGTCAATCGCCACCTTGTTTTCCTGAAAACTTTTATTTTCCTTTCTCCACAATGAAGTATTATTCTCTCCCCACCTCCAGTAACCATTTGTCTCTTGGTGGTATTGCTTTGCAAGAAATGATTAAAAAAGAAAATTGACCGACTTTACTTGCTCCTGACTGAAATTAAGATTATTTATACAAAAATATCAAACTGTTGGAATGGGTGTTATTGTATTGCTGTTTGTCTCTTAATATTAAAAATATTTTTATTTTTAAATTCCATGTGAAGAGTCATGAGGATTTGTGCAAATCACAAAATATCATGTGCTACAGTTTATCCTGCTTAACTTCCATCTTGATGTCAAGTAATAAATGCATTTCCTACTTTAATTCATTGTAGTAGCTTAAGTCAAACTTAATTGCAAAGTACAACTAATGAGTTTGCAGATCTCAAATACTGCAAAAGGCTTTTGGTGCTGCTACATAAACTCTCCAGTTATGGCATCTCTGGATTTTTCTTCACAATTATCTTCTCCCTGGTTGGTTCAGCAAAGTTATAAATGGCCAATCTCCCAAAGCCCATGTGATCAATACAGGCACAACCCAAGTCTCACTTCAGTCCTACACTCTTTCTCCAAAAATCTGAGTAGTAACACACCAAGCCTCATATGGAATTTATATATACAATCCATCACTAAAGATGGTGAAAAAATTGTCAACTCCTTGTACTACACCAAATGTACTAGATTTCTTCTACCATGTGTTATCTCTACAAGACTGAGATTTCAGCAAAAGTGTAAGATTGCTTACCTTTGTCTGGGCTGAAGCTGCAAAATCCTTAATTTCCAGCCTAGAGAAGAGTTCAAAATTGCTTAGTCGGGGGGCATTTTCCACATTTCAGTAACTTTCTCCACAGACACAAAAATTGCAAACATATTGCTACTCTATTGCTATTCTCATAGAAAATAGTTCAGACATTTAAAGCTAAGACTTGCCATCCTATGTCCAAAAAGTCTAACTGCTAACATTCCCTACCTATTCCATTTGTAAGGAGGAAGTTCCACTCGGACAGCTTCTTTCCAAACTGAGAATTTCTACTCTGGAACAAACACCTGCATTGATGGTTTTCCTGAATGCTACAATCTTAACTTCAAGTCAAGGGTCAATCACTAGTCTCCTTATCCTCATAATCTTTATTTACCTCTACTTTCTCTTACATTCAGTAATCCTCTACCCTCTTCATGGGCCTTGTACCGAATAGACCATAATTAAAAGAAGGAAAAAAAAAAAAAACATAACCTGGACAGAAAGTTCTCTCTACATAGCAGTTCACTAAAGCCTGTTTAAGTCCATACTTAATTTGGAGTCACTTAAATCAAAAAGGACCATGATTTAACAGCAACAACTACTCTGTTTTAATCTTGAATTTTCTCAATTTTCATGGTTTTGTACAAGCTTCTAACCTCTTATGATTAGTCTTGTTCAACAATTGCTAAAAACAATGAGCCCAATCAATATCGGGATGGAATATCAAATGCTCTTGAAACTTTTGATTTGAAATCATTATCACAAAGTAGTAGACAGATGACTAACAAGATCAAAACATTTTCGACAACTTCCATTCATACTATGCACAGCTAGAATAATTTTTTTTTTTTCAAATGTTGGTCAGCTTTCAACAATAAAACTTTTTCAATATGTCACTCAAGTTTTCTGCCAATATTTTATACAGAATTTCAAAAATAAAAAAATAAAAAAAATAACATTTGCTTCAGAATTTTTTTTATTATTTCCTGATGTAAACTTTGTATTTGAAGTATTGTAAAACATTAAATACATGCTCCACACAGCAACAGTTGGTATAAACATAACAAAGTCTGTTACATTGTTTTACTATATCATCAATACTTACAACAGCTGTCTGTATTTGTCAATACAGTTTTCAATGAACCTCTTGTTTCCCAAGGTTAAGACAGTGCTGTCCCAATTAATGTACAGGTTTCAATAGTTAGTGTAGAAAAGTGAATTGACAAGTCTGTGTAATCAGCAGCCAAATAGAGTCAGATAGAACCAAGTGAGCAGAACTGGGTTTGGTTTTCTTTTGCGCAATGAGTGTGTAATAATATCTTCAACATAACTTGTGTTAAAAGAAAAAAATAAAGCAGAAGGGTGGATGGAGCCAGATAAAAATGATATTTTTTTTTTTTTAACTATCATTAGAGATAAACATTACCAGTTAGAAGCCATACCATTCAAAAGGTAACACAGAAGCAACAGGAGAAGAGGGAAGAAGACAGAAAGAGAGAGACCTACCTTTGTATAAAGAAAAAAATAAGCGTTCCATATTAAGAAATAACTGACATTAAAATTTCTTTTAATGTTCACGTCAGAGTTTACAATGTTAGGATTTAATATAAATACATTAGCTAATAAAAAGGATTCTTTTAAAAGAATTAATGGGTTTGAGAATGTAAGTGGAGGAAAAACTAAAAATCATGAATAAATAGATCTCATTGTTATGTTTTAATAAATTTCAAAGTAGAAAAAGAGTGAAATCAAAGTTTCCAAGGATAAGAGAGAGACCAAAGTATATCATATTCAATAAAACAAAAAGGAAACAAAATGGCCGAACAAAAAGTCTAAGTGAAATATACTAAAATAAAATAAAAATTGAACATGTTAAACACAAGAATGAAAGAAAAATGCAATGGACAATGAAAGTTATCAAAAAAATATTACCACTTTTTGGGGTTTGATTGATCAGAAAATAAATACTGTCCAGAGATTGAGGAGGAGTAGAAAATCTTACAAAATGGCCATCCAAAGAAATATTTCACTCAAGTTATAAATTTTAGCTTTTTTGTGATTTGCATTTCAATTTCTTTTTTGAATAGATTCTTTAAGGAGGTAGCTTTTGTCAGAATTGATATTCTTATCAAAATTACATGTTTTGAAATTGTAAATTTTTTCACCAAATAATTTTTATTTCTTGCTGAGGGACAGGCACAATATGCAGACACACACTCAGAAAGTGCACTTCTTGTCAAGAAACACTCTTCAAAAGTAGTAGTTTTTTTTTTTTTCTTTTAAAAACAGATAAAAATAATCTGATTTTTCCTACAGACAAATTATATATGTATTTTTTTTTATGTATGTACAACATTAAAACCATTCAGCAGTAAGACAAGGACTAGAAAAGGGGAGGGGGAAGAGAAAACAATTAACATTATCAGAATTATAGTTATCAGCAGCAAAGTGTGCCCCCAGCAATATAAATTGTGCTCCTGAAATGAGTCTAAACAACTGTGTTCTTAGTGAAGCCAACAGTTGGTTAATAGAATGTGGGCCTTTTTCAAGAATAAAAGGAAAATATTCTAACAATAAAAACAAATTCCACAAAACATAAAAACCTTTTTCTTAATATTTGTAGAAATACAAAACAAGTTTCTCTTTGCAAACAAATACAAAATAAAGGATAATTTTATTTTTGGAATAAATTTTAACAATTTCCCACCAGACAAGAGTTCATTTAAAGTTTGTTTTTGTTAAATTTACAGAGTCACTTACAACTGAATTTTATTCTCAATGATCACTGAATTTTAAGTTTCAAGAGCGGGAACAAGGTGGGGAAGGGGAAGAAAATGCCTGAATTATTAAAGATACATCATATGTAAACAATGGCAAAGAAAAAGTGAAAGAAAAGTTTGCTTCTGTGTTACCCAAATACAGACAAATCTAGACAAGCTCTCAATCAGACATCACATGCATTGGCCTAACCCTTTCAAATGTGGTTTTTATAGGCAGTACCTTAAGATAAACAAAAACCCACCATCTCCAGAAAAAAATAAATTATTTTATCTGCTCTGTGTTGCTTATTCTAATAAATTTGTTGCTCTCATAATTTCAACTAACTAAACAGTAGATCAGAAATGTAAACACACTCAAGTTCATATTTAATCAAATAGTTGCAATAATATCACACAGTAATTGCAACAAGACAAAAAAAATGGTTGAGAAGGAAAATGGTCAGAATTCTTGAACTAGCATCCACTAATACTGATTTGTTGTGTTTCCATCATTTTTATTGTTTAATAGACAATGCAAAAATGAGCCCAACTGAATATCAGCTGTTATGGTCTCTGTTCCCCAAGTGCTGACTCAATGACTAACCGATTAATCAATTTGTTCATCCACCACTGCAGTCACACCACCATCTCCACCACCGGTGGTTACCCATCTTTGTTTTTACTGTGGTTGTGCCATCATGACTCATGGCTATCACTTCTTGCTGCTACTGCTGCTGCTGTTGCTGCTGAGGATGAGAAGAATGACAATGACAATATAACATTTTGCTGATAACGGCTTCACTCACACTCCATCATTCACTCACTCACTCATGCACGCTTCAAATCTATCACAAGCTTTCATCACTTTCCATGGCTTGCAACTGTAGATCTTCATGATCAATGTTGGAGATGTTTGACGAGTTACTCTGTGAACCTGCCTCCTGAGAATCAGCCTCTCCACCATTGTCCTCCAAGCCAACTGAAAGAAAAATAAAGTACTTTTAATAAAAAGGTGTCAACCATAGTCAGGATCATCAAGTCAATGCAAATGATCCTTTCTTTAGCTGCATAGTATGTGCTTTGCAAGGGATATATATAATTTTAATAATTCGGTATAATTCTTTACATCATTGAATTATCTTTCAAAAATTCATTTTTAAATGACATTTCATAACTGTTAGGTAAAAATTCCAAGCCATAACTTTTGCACATTGTTAGAAAAATCTCAGATCTCTGATTTTGACCAGTTTATACAATCAAATCAACTGCCGTAGGCCATTTACAACAAACCTTAGGACAATTTTCACAATTGAGGAATTCCACAGGAATTTACACATATACATTTTTATCTTTCTCTTATTATTCAACACACACAAAAAAATGGCATTTTTAAACAAGATAGTCATTAGCAATGAAAAATGGATTTATTACAAGGATCAAGAATAAAGAAAATCAGGACAGCCTTCAAAATGAACTTTACTGATTCTGCTTAATATTTCTTCAAAAAGGAATTCTTTATTATAAATCACCGGAACAAACTTATTGTACAATGCTAAAATGAACAACTGGTATATTACGAGAAGAGAACCTTCAATAAAGCAAATGTAAAGTATCCAACCATCTTGACGTAAACATCTTACTACGTATGCAAATTCAGTTACTCAAAATAAATGCAAACAGCAAAAATTGAAATTGTTATTTACCTGGATCATTCATCTTAACAAGCGAGTCATCATCATCTGTTACATAGCGTTTGTCTATACCCTCTTTAATTTGATTATTTATTCCTTTTGGATCCAAGTCCATCGCCCAAGAAAAATTGGACAAGGCTAAGTGGGTATTACCAAGTTTTTTATGAACCTGAAATCACAAACATCATCCAAACTTGAAATAAATGAAATGAGTATCACAGAAAAGACATTTTCAATATCCAAATATAATTCTCCCATTCTCCGACAGAACATTTTAGTCAGATTCCTACTTAGACAATTCTTAAATCATGTGAGTTTTTACTTAGAAAAGAATTCATCCTAACTATGCAACCAGATTTTGAAAGGAACCAATTAAAAAATTATTGATGTTTGGTTATATTTTGAAAACTTGGTCAGGCGGAGAAATGTTTCAGTACCTTCCCGTATTTAAAACGACCAAAATAGGGGGAGGGGGAGAATCTGAAAGACATTTTAGGAATTTTTGCTAAGATGAAAGATTATCACTTGCTAGCATCTACTCATAATTCAAAATACTATTATTTGATGAAAAGTTCAGTCACTATCAACTGAAAATAATGTCTTAAAATATATTGTTGCTGAGGATAAATTATATAAAAATTTTTTTTTTTTTTTTAAAGTTACAAAATGTTATTCTGGCAGTTTTTTTGTTTTCTTTTTTAGTTCAAATTAAAATGGTGACAGAATTCAAATTCACTTATATTAAAAACTTTAAATATATTGAGCAGTTAAAATATTAAATTTATTTATTCATAGCTCCAATTTATACATTAATAGCTTTTAATATAACTGAACACAATTTAAGAGAGGTAACTTCTCTTTATGTAACCCTAGTTGCTCCCCCTACAAATAAATGGTTTCTAAGGGAAGTAATCAATATTATACCACTAAGAAAGAAAAAAAAAAAAACGGAATTTTTTTTTTTAATTAAATACTAGGTAAGTAAACACACTGACGAGTTAAGTTGTCATTTTAGACAAATAAAACAAACTTTAATGGGGGTGGAACTGCAAGTTCAAATTACGCTTTCAGCTTTAGATATGTAGATATTTCAATTTACAAATTTCTTTTAACCTCTGCATAGATATATATTAAAATAATAAAGTTATAATCAAATAATTTATAAAAAACTTTTAAAAATTGTTTCTCATCACTGAACATTTAAATAATATTTTGTTGTAATCTTTCTTTTTTATCATAAAAGGTGACAAGTAACAAAATCCATGCAATTAATGGCAACCATATTCTAACATTGTTCTAACTGTTAATGCTAGATTTTTTAAACAAGGTAAAGAAAACATTTTTACATGTACAGAAAAGTTTTATAATATTTACCTTTCCTATTAGAAAATATACTAATGATTCTTTAGGGACAATTTGTTTCAATTCTTCTAATTCTTCTAAGGCTTCCTGTGGAGAAGAAAAAATGTGCAACTAATAAAAATGAACAGGAAAAATTCCATTAATTATTTTGGTATAAACATTTGACTTCAGTTTTTCTCATACATAGTCAATAAATTGTTTATGCACAAATACATACATATATACAGACACTATAGTTACACTATAGCCTAATAAAATACAAAATATACATGTTGTACAGTTCTTTTCAACCTTAGACATAAATACAAAAAAATTAGGTGAATGATACCTACTCTATGTTTATCATTAGCAAATAAAATGGAAGCTCGATGGAATTTGCAAAGAGGGTTGTTTGGGTCAATTGAAATAGCTTTATCTAATGTTTGTAGGGCCATTTCAGACTTTTTAAGGGCGTGTTGTACCTGTAAAATAAAATAAAAAAATATATATAAGTATTCTATAATAAAAACAGATTTCAAAATAAGTTTATGCACTAAAGAAACAAATTTTAATATTTAAAAGTCAATCCGTAAATAAAGTAGTAGGAAAATCAATAGAAATAATCTTAAAACTTTAGGCAGCAATAAAAAAAATTTGCCATAAACACCTTCCTTTATATTAATGAGTTTCAAGTAAACAAATTACAAAACTTATCTAAAAAAATAATAATAAAATAGATACTTACAACCCCAACATGACAAAGCAGAGCAGGACTTTGGGGATTGATCATCAGCGCTTTATTGAAATGTAATTCAGCTAAATTGAATTTTTCTTGTTTGTAATAGATCATTCCAACCCCATACCTGAAGATTAAAAAGAAATAGTATTCATATAGCACTTTAATCATTTTACATAAAAGACTGAGAAATTGTTAATCACTTTTAAACACTGCTTAGGTTTAATATAAAATTTTAAAGTACAAGATACAATCAACCTTTCTTCACATGTAACGTAGCCCTTAAATTACATAAAAAAAGAGAAAAGAATACTGATATTCAAATTTTAAGTCAGTCTGTTTTTTTTGCAACTCTAAACCATAAATCAAAATGCTTGTGAATATGCAGGTAGTCCAATGGTTATCAAAATGGAAAGTGGAATTGACAAAGAATTTAAATTCCAGTGACTTGTTTTCTTCACTAATGCCCTGGGAAAAGAAATTGATCCATTGAGCTCAAACTATAGGTTAATTTGCAAAGCAGACTCAGGTGGCAACCTGTCTAGGAGAACAAGAACTGAATTCAAATCCTTTAGCCTTGGTAGAATAACTAGTCAGAAAGAACAAGAGAGAAGGGATGGACTTCATCAAATTATCATTCCCAAGATACAGCGGCTGTAACTACTGGTCCAGTACCTGTGGTGCCCCAACAACCCTAATAAGTTACAGACTCACAATCCTGACCAATTTCATATTAACTTTGTCAAATCTTTTATTTCTTATAAGTTTACAAAATCTGTTTTCTTAAGTGAAAATCACCATTGAACCAACTACAAACACAATATTTTGAATACAGCATGAAAAAAAAAAAAAAAAAAAAAGAACTATGTACTATTGTATCATCTATGGACTTCCATACTAATGCAATAACACCTGAAACCACATGATTTGTTGCTAGCAATAATAAAAGGAAGGTAAATCCACCATCATATTGTCGCCAGCTTATAGTTAAATTACGTTTAGATTGCAACCCCAAGCCACTGTGGTATTCATTTTATTCAACTAAAAGCTGGCTACAATATGTCAGTGGATTCAGCAGCCTTTTATTAGTGTTAGTAACAAGTATGTAATGAAATCTTTGTGAGGCACCTATTGGCTACAAGATAACAGAAGCAAAGAGAATCACCGGATGTGTTACTTTTTAGAGAGTTAGAGAAGTTAAAGAGAAATTTCAACTTCCAAGACCATGGTGCTGAGGAATGAGAGAACAAAGCAATGCAAGATGCATTCATTATTGGCATAGCTTCTTATGCAATACAACAGTGTCTCCTAGAAAATAAGACCCTGGATCTACAAACAGCTTGTACTCAGGCTACTATGTGAAACTTGGCTCAACATAATGACGACTTCCAGACACTCAAATGACTGCAATAGTGAATCTAGAACATTTGCAGGTATGTGAAGATTCCTTGTACTCTACAGTCCCATCAAATGAAACAGCTGTGGCAGCAGCCTATCAAAGGAGGAATAAATGCTACTTTTGCTTTTCCTTGGTATTCTCGGGATAGCTGTCCTGCAGGAAATTAAGTGGCCTTCTTTATACATATAGCACAGACAGTTATATCAACTAAAGAATTGTGTGAAAGCTAAAGGTTTACTGATCTAAGAAAAACATTGCCCAGAGAACTCTGAATATCAATTCCAATGTCTATGTGAATTTAACCCTTGGCCAGGTATAACCAGATAACCAGGTATATGATGCCACACTTCATGGCATTTTTCAAGATCTGTATTCAGATGTAATATTCTACCAGGAGTTAGCATGCTAACAACAAGAGCAATGTCCAATTATGATAGCCGCTTGCAAGAATTCATCATGGATGGTGGTTGTCAATATTGTGCATTGGCTCAAGCAACACTAGAAGAGCCATCCCTTTTTCAAAGTTTATTGCCAAGCTCTAATCAGACTGCTTCAAATCAAGAAATTTTAGCAAAGACCAGGCTTTCATCATGAAGGAAATCAAACATTTACTATTTAAAAGGTATAAGTGAATGAAGTGTATCATCTTGGTGAATTTGGGTAGTGGTCATGAAAGACCCTAGCCACAGACATAAGAAACAAATGTGCATTGATTATTCGCAGACAATTCATCAATATACAGAATTTGACGCTTACCCTATGCCATAAAAAGCTGAAATGATAAACAGCCTCAATAAGTGTAGCATCTTCCTCACATTCAACCTGAAAAATGCTTACCACCAGGCGCCACTGAAAAAGTTGGACAGAAAGTACACTGCCTTTGAAGTGAATGAATGTTTATTTCAATTCTGTGGGGTAACATTTGGGTAGCTATGAATAGAATGAGTAGAGAAGAAAATCTGCATGGTGCTTTAACAATAACAATTGCAGAGCACATACCAGAAGAACATGATGAAAATGTGAAAAGATTCTTGGAGGAAAATTACATTGAACAGGTCAGTATACCCTATCAATGTGTTAGGCTATTGTATTGGGAACAGTGATTGAACTTGATATTGAGAGGCTTCATCTCTTGAGAAAACTTTGTCTGTCCAAAAACTTTCAAGTCTTTAAAAAGGGCACTTGGAATGTTTTCTTACTATGCCAAGTGTATCAAAAAGTTTTCAGATAAAATTTAACCATTGATAGAAACAAACAAATTCTCAATAAAAAAGAAAGCACTGGCAGCCTTCAATCACTTAAAGAAAAAAATTAGAGAGCCATGCGCCACTCAGTAGAAAAAAAATTTTCCTTTCAAGGTACAATATCTGATGAGTTTATATCAGCTGTCCTAAACCAAGGAGGACATTTGATAGTGTTTTTGTCAAGGATGCTAAAGGGCAGTGTTTTAAAATGCCATTTTATAAAGAAATAAGCAATGGCCATTATTGAAGCAGTGTGTAAATGGAGCCACTATTTAGCATGGTGACACTTCACTTTGATCATAGACCAGCAAAAGATGTACAAAAATCAAAAATTCATGAACACAGAATGGAACTTGCAGTATGTATAGCCATATAATTATATACTGACCTGGCAAGGAAAACTTGGTTCCAGATACATTTACTCTAACATACATGTGTTCAACTATTACTGCTTCAATACTAGCAGATATTCACAACAAACTTTGCTGCTCTGGAATAACTCGGTTCGTACATTATATCAGAGCAAGAAATCTGCTCTTTTCTACAGATGTAAAGAAAATTTGCACATCTTTTCAGGTCTGTGCCAAAATTAAACCTCACTTGTATAGCTCACCAGAAGGAACCCTCATCAAAGCAACAAAACCTATGGAGTGGCTTGGTATTGATTTCAAGTGACCACTGCCTTCTGTTACACCCAACATATATATACTTACTCATGATAGTGGACAAATACTCACACTTCCAATTTGCCTTCCCATGTCCTAGCATGCATGCAACAGTGATAAGATGTCTATCAGAGTTACATTCCAACAGAGACAAACCTTTCATGTCTAAAGAATTGAAAGATTATCTTTTCCAGAAAGGATTTGCCACTAGTAAGACCATACTTCCTAACAAGCAATATGCAGGTAGAGAGGTTTAACAGCACCATGTGGAAAGCAATTCTTTTGGCTCTTAGGTCACATAATCTACTAAGCTCATTATATACAGCAACAATTGCTACACCCCCCACAAACTTTTTCTGTGTCGTTCATCCCATGAAAACCCACTGTCCTCTTGGCTAATGACACCTGCACGAATATTATTAAGGAGGTTGGTAAGGAATAACAAAAATGATCCATTCATGGATCAAGTCAAAGTCTTCAATAGTAACCTATGCTAACATTAAATGTCCAGATTGAAGAAAATCAACAGTTTCAATTTGTGATTTGGTACACTGTCCCAAACTTCAACAAGATTTCAGTAATATCTGTGTCAGAAGACAGCGACATGCCACGAAGGCAGTGACAAAAAAGAAGGTCTAACAGAAGCTAAGGAGATCCAATCAATGATCAAAATTTCCCAATCAATATGGCTGTAGCTCTTAATGTTGAGGTTATATTTTTCTAGTAGGGAAGAATGTACTATTATATTATGTATGGGCTTCTATATTAACAATAGGAACCACATAGTTTGTTACCAACATTAAAAAGATGCTTGTGACTGCCATCATATTGCAACCGGCTAGGATTGCAGTCCCAAGTCACTTTGGTGTTCATTTTATTACATTCTACAATCAAAAGGAAGTTTAAATTCTAAGCAAATAAAAACAGACATTTTGCAAATGTGAGATTGGGTGCACAAATTAGAACAGTATGGAGAAGGCACCCAAATTAAACATAATTTCTATATACTGAAGAAATGCAAAAATTTGAGTATAAATAGTAACAAGATTTAGCAATAGTTATTAAAAAAAAAAAAAAACATCTGTAGAGGACTTACCATGCATTGTAATGTCTTGGATCCACTCTGATTGAATTACGGAAACTAGATAAACCTTTCTCAAACTCCTCAGTAAAAACATATTCATGACCCAGTAAAGTATATGCATAGGCAAAATTGGGGTCAACCTAAATAAATAAAAAAACAATTGAATTTTAAAAAAACTAAAAGATTTTAAAATGTTTTTTTTATAAGCTTAAAGTTTGAAAATAAACAATATAAACTAGTTTTGCAATGTTAGAATTTTATTTACATCAATATAAATAGAATACAAAAATTCTTAGTAGTCATTAAGTCTATTTACCATTATATCAAGTGTTAAACAAAGTTAAAAAAGGTGGGAAGAAAATGTAACTATCCTAATTACAGATACCAATCTCTTTCATATGATAGGAAAATAAACGATTGATGAAGAAAAATTCATACCTGTTCAATTTTATTATTCTATTTCTGTCTGAATTTCTGGGACAAGGCATTATCAATATTTACATTATTTACACACAGACTATTGTCCCCCCATCTTTGTTGTTAGCACATTTTGGTCACTTTAACTTCCAGACTTCATCTACTATACTAAATTGAAATTATTTCACTTATCAGTGTTGTAGTAACTGGAATAATAAACATTAATGACATGCAGACTATTGTCTTCATCTTTGTTGTTATCACAATGTTTCGGCCTTCATCCGGTGCTTGTCAATCCAGATAACCTTTAGGGAATCTTGAACTGGAAATACAGCATTGGTTTGTGAATTTTGTGATCTAGTAATTGTAAGTTCAGTCCCTGGGGCGAGCAGTCAAAATTGAACAAGCAATAAATGAGTAGTACTAAATAAGAACTAGATAAACTACATGCTCAGTAGAATAAGAACAGTCTACCCCTATAGATTAAATAAAGTGTTTAGTTTGAAATTCCCTAAAAGTTATCTGGATTGACAAGCACCTGATGAAGGCCAAAACATTGTGATATTAACAAAGACAATAGTCCACATGTAAACAATGTTTATTATTCCAGTTATTACAACATTGATAACTGAAATAATTTTGAATCAGTATCATAGATTTTCTTTTATTTAGAATCTAAAATTTCATCTACATCTTAATTACAAGAGAAAAGTTTCATCAACAGATTTTAGACTTCACTTACCTGAATAGCTCGTTGAAAAAATTTGATAGCAGTGTCATGTTCTTTCTGCAAACTAAAACAATTCCCTGTTGCACACCAAGCCTGCAATTAAATATGAGCAACAAAATTTTACATTTAACTTTCAAGAAGAAACAAATACATTAATATTTCCCAGCAATTGTCAAAGTAACATACAATACCAATGCAAAATGATCAGTATTAGAAGGACACATTTCAAATGAACAAAACTACTCTGTAAGAATGTTACCAACTTCCAACAGTGGAAATGCAAGATGACAATAGAAGAAAAACTGCAGTAATCTATCTTACATCAGAAGTATGTCAGAAAGGATTCAAAGGATCTACAGTCTATGCAACATCAGGATGATATCAAAAAGCAGTTCTGTGATACCCACATAGAAGGGGAAGAGGTGATTTTATTGCAATCTCAAGTGTTTCTGTTTGATGGACCAGCAGTTGGTTCTTTTTGAAGTTCGGTCTTCTAACAAAGCATTCAAGGGAATGGAAGTTTTAAAGGAATGGATTAGGGGTTTGTGGAGATCAAGTGTTAACAAAACCAGAAATAGGGCATATCTGGGTGCTGGTCTAGATTAACAGTCATGCTTGGGGAAATTTCTGGTCCACCCTTGGTGAGAGACAGATGTGTCTGTTGTGTGGTTTGCCCTCCATTTGTATCGTCAGCCACTATGTTGGTTAGGTAGATGGGCAAGGAGTTGAAAGAGCTGACATACCCACCCAGACAAGCAGGTGAAGCCCTGAATAAAACATCTGCATATAATATGGAAAAACAGGGTTCATGTTCTTATTACTCAACGTGGATTTTGTCTTCCATTATGTTACCTTTACAGCATGCCCTTCATCAGGTTTTGGTACACACCAATGAGATCAAGAATCATAATGCTTGGTGGGGTCATTGTTGGAAAGCTTGGCTGAGGGTCGCATGGTATGTTTATAGTTCCACTCTTTGGTGATAACTCACTAGACAGACTACAAAAGTAAGACCCACTGTCCTCTCAAAGATGAAAGAATATTGAAAGTTGTAGCCTGTAGAGTGACTATGAAATCAGGTACAACTGATCATGTGCAGGAGAAGGGCGGGTCATTAAGCACTGTAGAATTAAATTAGAATAGAGAACATTGTAGAATAGAAATAAAAAATAAAAATTTAAGCCTTCATGTTAGAAATTAATAAAAATAAACATTGTTATATTTTCATATGTACACTTATTTTGTAGATGACTACATATAACTGTTGTTTTTATTGTAAATAAAGTTTCTCTTTCTTATTTTTATAAACATTGAGCATTTGTCATTTGTTTCCTTCCTTTGTTGTCTTGTTTACATTGTTAACCTTCATATCGGACTTCTTGTCACTTGTTCCCAAACAGGAGAAATTTCATGATAACACACTACCAAGTTGCCCCCTTTATTGTGTTGTTTCTAGTATTATCATCCCATAAATCCAATAAATGTTCGAGATTGCAGATATTGACGTCCAGTTTATATTTCAGATATAAACATAAGTACTGATAAGCTCCTCAGTTGTCCTAGCACAGATCTTTGATCAAGAAAGAACAGACATTAGGCCCTAAATTCTTCCACTCAATTGTCCTTGTTGATCTACACATTAAGTGTTTTCTGGTAATTTATGAGTTCAGTGTCTGAGTAAGATTATAGACTTGTAATGTTAAAATTTTTAATAAATTAATTTAAATTTTATTTCAATAGAGCAACATATTAAGTTTAATTATTTTAAAATAGGAAATGTTTTCAAACAATTTACAAGTTTTTCTTTTACCTGTCCACCTCCCCCTTTTTGTTAGCTGCTTTTGCATTATGTAACACTTGAACAAAGTGAAAGGCTTGGTAATTTACTAAGAGAGTGGCAAGTGAGAGAAAAAGAAAAGTCAACTTCATATCAGTAGACATCTTAGATTAGCAGACAAAAAAAAAAGGAGAGGATTTAAAGTATTTTTTTTCAGTTAATTAATGCACTTCAGCTTTGGGAAACTTATAAATGAACAATGATCAAGAATTACCAAGAATCAGATGACAAAAGATTGGAAAACGGAGATAGAAGAGGTGACAAACGTATTACAAAGAATTTCATTTTTAAAAGATATTCTTTCCTAAGACTGACATTTCAGTAAAAAGAATGATTTCGTGATTCTTGAGAAACTTCCAAAACTGCAAGTATATATAATTGTTCTAATACTTTAGAACCTTTTTTCTAAATTATCAATTAGCTTTTCTCTCACACCTGATGAAACAAAGAAAATATATTTCCTGTAAATGATGCAAACACAAATGATTAATAAAAACAAAACGAAAAAGAAAATTATTAAATCCTCAATCAATCCCACAGAAACTCATTAGGGAATATTTCTATAAAGCAAAGTGCTGGATAAAACTCTAGTTCTTTATATAATGAATAATTGCTTTTATATAGTTTTCCAACATTCAATAAGTTTTGTGTAATTATAAAAATAATCTTAAATAATGGTTTTATACAGAATTAAAAGGTAGATTTAGAATTAAAGTACATTTCAAACAAAAGGTCGGGGAGGATTTGACATAAAACTTATAAGTTTGAATAATCCTAAAGCAGTTATTTCCCTTGCATCAAAACGGTAATACAGCAAATGTAAACCTTTCACAATTTTCTAAGAAAATTTTAGCATGTCTGTAAAAATTAGGTACCTCTAAAAATTCGTATACCTAAGGTTTAAATATATTTTTCATGAAGGAAAAAACCTTTTCAAAGCTTTCCCCCAGCTTCAATTGAAAGCTAAAGGATTAAATTTTATAATTCCAGAAAAAAATACCGTGGAGTTTTTCAAATAGAAATTTGAATGATTTTTAGACAATACTTCCAATCAAAATGGCCATTTTTAACTTTGTTAGAGAATTTAAACAACTTATTTTTTACTTTTTGAAAATCCCGCTAAAATAAGATATACATTTCTGTAATGTTACTGTCGTAAAAGTAACAAATTTAAAGTTAAATTAATCTGTTCTGAAACAAATATCACTTAAATATAAAATTATTAATATTACATTAAGTTATATTTTTAATTTAATAACCGAGAAAATAATTAATAAAATTATCATTATATTAATAATTAAAATATCTCACTCACTTATTGTTTAAATTGATAAATGAGATAATTTTATTATCTCAATTTAATTTTTAATTTAATAACTCAGAGTGACATAAGTCAAAAACCTTTATATGTCAAGGGGCTTTTCCCTAAGGAGGAGACAAGCTTTGAAACACGTGACCTTTCAACCATGTCACTTACAAGATATCACACTAAAAAAATATAACATTTTCACGTACAAAAGAAAAATATCTTTAATTATGGTAGAAAGTTTTGGTAGCATGATTTGTATTAAGCTTTTAATTTTTGCTTAGTAAATATAGCCTTCACTTAAAAACTTAATAATTTACCCCATACTCTGTTTTTAAAATTAAAGAAAAATGAAAAAAAACTAAAAGAAAAATGCAAACAATTCTTGTAAAAATTATTCATTGAAAGAAAATCACACAATTATTTGATTTTTGCAAGAACTTCCAAATTAATGTGTTTTTCCCCCAGAAACTGCTACACTAAAATGGCCATTACCACAAGTAGAACAAAGTTGACAAAAAAAAGAAAGAAAAATTTTTTTTTTTACCCAAACTTAGAACGTGTTAGAAAGGAAAAAAATTTTTAAAAATAATTAAAAAATACTTTGTTCTTTCCTCTTAATAATAACAAACATTTTAATGATAAAACTTTGTTTTTATTAAGTTTGAAGCCTTTTATTGTAATGCTATACTGATTTTTAGTGATTTATTGGATGTCCCTAGTAAAAATTAAAGGACTAAAAAATTACAAATTAAGACTATTTCCAAAGAAGTAAAAATAAAATTTTTGCAATGAGGTTTCATATTAAGAAAATTAATACTTTCTTTACATATATTTTACTAAATGAAAAGGCCATTACCAAACTGTTTTATATTGCCAAACTTAGTGTTGAGCTTAAACTATAAATTCAAGTAAATAAGGCATGTATTCTGTAATTAAAACTGCTCAAAAAGGAAAGGAAAACAAATTTAAAGTTAGAAAATACAAGCTTTTCAAACATTCTACAGAGATTTTATTTAATAAACTAAGCTCCACTAATAAACAATTTATCCCACAAACTAGTCACATAATCAAAGCTCTGATACATACTGACTGTTCAACAATGTTCAAAGCAACAGATTTCCACAAAAACAAAAAAGATCTTGAAATACTTTCCTACCTCAGGGGCATTCTTATTCATTTCTGTTAATTCCTGTGCTAAAGCAGACAATTCAACTTCCCGCTGTAGTTGCCACAAAGCAGTGCTGTACAGATCCATGCCTTCCATATGATATGGCTCCAACTCACGTAATTCAGCAAACACTTTCTCAGCCTGACAACAAAAAACAAACAACTGTTCAAAAACAGGTCCTTATTTGTTAACATTTCAATGAGTAAATCTAATGCAATTTAAATAAAATACACTAACAAAATTTCTCCAATAAAAAAAATCTAAAATCCACAACATCAAAAATTTATTTATTCAATTAAGAGAGGAGGGAAAAAAAGATATTTTGTGCTAAGACAATTAGATTAATACTGTGGAGTAGCATTATTTTGTAAAAATAATTTTAAAAATTCAATGCAATGCATTTTTGAATATACCAATTTTAATAATAAATATATTTTGAAGTTGAAAAAGTTGCTTAACTTAAAATTAGGATAAAGTTGTTAATTTATTGAAACCGTTTTGATTTAGAGAAAAAAATTTGTTGATATTTATTTTTTTTATTCTAATTTTTCTATGTAAATCACAAATGATTTCTTCTAATTCTAATAATTAAATGACTGACCAGCACTAATAGTCCTTGCTGTAAATAAGTTGTCTTGTTAGAAATAACTGATATCATCGCAAAATGAGAAAACAAAAAATGCCTTCAGTAAAAAGAAATTTTGCAGGTTTTTTTTATTTTTTTTTATTTATTTATTTTTAACTTCATTGGGATGTCGTTTTCAGTAGTTGGTTCAGAAAATTTGCATAATGTCAAATCTCAAACAATGCATGCTTTTTTGTACAAGTCAGTGTGCACACTACATGGATCTGCTTTTGTGAGTTTGTGACATTAACCAAAAAATGTTTCTTTTAGTAAATTTGTAATGTTTACTAATTACCAAGTTCATAAAAATGTATTTAGTTTCCTATTGTCTATATATTAGAATAAAATACACAAAAAGTTTAATGAATGCTTCATTTTACTTTTTAACATAGGTACTTCCATGAGATCGCTAAAAAAAAGAGCATAGCATGATGAAAAAGATGCCAAACTTGATGAAAACAAAATTTTAGTGTCTAAATGTTTATTATGAAAAGGAAAGACCAAAGTTTATTTTAATTATTTTTTAAAATTATTCCTTCTTTTTAGAACATTCTAAATTTTGATTAAAAAAATCTTGTTTCTCTTTGTATCACCAGAACTAGTAAATAACATACAATTTTTAGCATGTTTTTTTTTTGTATGACACACATTAATTTGGAAAATCTTGCAAAAATAAAAATAATTGTCGGATGTTAACGAAACTTTCAGAAACTATTCACAGATGATCAAAATTATTATAAATATGTTCTTTTTACTAAAGTCATGGCAGAAATATTTTTTTTTATATATTTATTACCCCCTCACCTATAACTAATTTTATGAAAACTCTAGAAATTCGATAGAGTCCACTTTAGTGATTACAATAGTTAAAAGCACAAGGCTTTGAGGAATGCAAATCATGTTTATTTTTGTTTTTAATTGGACCCCCCTACCTGAAAATCAGCTCTAAATTGTAACATACAAAACTCAATAAAACAAATATATTATTTAATTTCAAATGTTTTTATTTGCTTTTAGTTGTTTTTATGAATATGGACAATGTTTTCTGAAAGCAAAAAATTTTTTCGATGAAAAATGAATTTTTAATATAATTTATTTCTTTAATTATAATAGATTTTTACATTTAAGTTGTTAAAATATAAAATTAGTTAAAAGCCGCATCCACTTTCGTAAGTGTCCTTATGAGATAGATCTTTTTTTAGCGCGTTGTAAATTGTATCGTTTTCACTAATCAGAAGATCCGCAGTAATTAAGAAATGTAATATAATTGGGCTGTAATTAAAAAGTACGGAAGACCAACCAGAATACAATTAAGTTGCATTATTTGAGTTAAACATTGTTCTCCACTGTTACGGCCTTTATTTTTGCAAAACACGTGTGGAGAAGTTAATTTGATTTTTCAATTTCAACTGAGGATAAAATTTCATAAGAAAGGTACCTATGAAGTAATTAGATACCTTTATTATGAAATTTAATCTCACTCTTAACAGTTATTTCAATTTCTTTATAATATATTTTCCATAAATCATTATAAACGTAAAGGTGAAAGCTAAGTACAAAAAAAAATTAGAGCACTGAAAGTTTTTCTTAAAAATAACGAGGTATATAATTTGTTCACTTAAATGACTTCACTCCTTCTGTAGAAGGAATTATCCTCATATAATCCGTCAATATGTCATTCATCACCTGTCAAGTGATGCGAAAGTTTATGACCTGCTTTGTTTTATTTTCAAATTACATCTTTTTGGCGTTGAAGCTAAGTTAAGCCTGGTTCAAAATATTTTAAATAAACATTATAATTTCTGATTTTCTTAAAATAAGTTTTGAAAAAATGATGATTTTTAAAAGATTTTCAAACTGAGATTTTCATTTTTTTTTTATAAAATGGAAAAAAAATGGTTGCCATGATTGATTATCTGACAATTTTGGTGACTCAAAAAAAAAAAAAAAAACATTTTAACAAACATTTCAGACATGCTAGGAACAATTAAAAAATGTAAAAACATACCCAAAAATACTTTGATCTTTCCTCTTAATAATAACAAACATTTAGATGATAAAATTTTATTTTTATCAAGTTTGGCGTCTTTTTCATCATTTTAGTGATCTCGTGGAGGTACTTATTTTAACAGGATCAAATTTCTCTCCCAAAGATTTTTAATGATTGATAGTATTTCATAATTTAAGATTTCCACTTTTCATCACTTTCAAAATTTGGAATCTATCTTAAGTTAATATTAACAAAAACATTCTCCTAACTTTGCTAACAACAGTAACCATACTTACTTGTAGATAATTATTCAATTCAAAATAAGCCCGAGCCACTTGACAGAGAACCCATCCAGTCTGATATTGATGTGGAGGTAACTCATTGAGCAGTTCAATGGCATGTTTGCATTCATACTGGCTTAGTGCCTGGAATGCTCGACCCATACTTTGGAGAAGTTTCAAAATGCCAGCTACAATAGACAAAAAGATGGTAAAGTTGAAAAACTACAAGGCAGTTAGAAAAAAATTGAAATCTTGAATATTACTTCAAATTCAGAACTTTAAAACTTCATTGCCATTAATTATAAATAGAATTAACTTATCTCAAGAATTGAGTACATTAAACATCTATTTGATAAAATTTTTATCTAATAAAACCCATTCCAGAAATAGATCATTCACAAATAGGGTTTTTTTCATTTTTGTTTTAATTCAAATTTGAAATTAATAATTTTTTTTTTTAAGTACCTGGATTAATTTTAAAACATTCATATATCATTAATAATTTAATGATATATTTGATGTTACCTATAAAATATGAAGAGCTTAAATACAAAATGCAATAAATGCCATTTTCAAAATTTTTAAGTTAACACTACCAAGGGTTTTATATTTCATCATTATCACACATCAAAATCATTTTTTATATATTGTGATATTTTCTCTTTTTTTTTTTTTTGCTTTCAAAATCTGTTTTGTTGCAAAATGCAATATAACCATGACAGATTTAGACAAAGAAAAAACAACCTTAGAGTTGAAAAAAAAAATGAAAATAAAAAAAAAAATGAAGGTATCAAGTTTCAACCTCCTATTTTAAATAAAACTAAACATTTAATACCTTTTCAATAAACAAATAATTTATTTACAAAAAAATAAACATTTAAAATGTTCTGTGAGATGCAGTAATAATGCTTCATGGTTATAAAATGTGAATACATATTTTTATAGACTAAATTCAGTTAAAGACACTATAAGTTACTGTTTAAAGAATTAGTTAAAGTTGATAAAGATTTTTAATAATTAATAATATGGTATTACAGTTTGAACAATATACAGTAGATAACAGTTTATAAAAATCACACAACAATTTTGTTTACACTGAATTCAAAAGTTAAAAAATGATTTGCAAAAGACAGTATTTTAGCTTTATTCTTTTGTTTTTGATATAATTTTGACTGCAGAGAGCTATAAAAAAATTTAGATATACATTTAAATATTGTTATAGTTAAAAATTAAAAAAAAAAATAATGGTTTATTTCAGGAAAAACCGTCTAATATTGGTATTTTCTATAACTTGTATTATGTTTGAAAATGTAAAATTTACATTGTTTAGAATGCGTTGAAAAAAAAATGTCTTAACTGTAACTTGCTTGCTTAAAAACAAATCATAGATGAGAAAACATAATAAAAATAAAACATTTTTAATAGATTTTTATCCTTTGAAGTCAGAGATTTTGCTTAATACTACTTCCGCACAATGTTCATATAAAGTGACCATCATGTATTTTGATCAGTTCACCCAGTAACCTTAGACAATGATGGACAACCTCATGTCACAGAGCAGGTTCTTACACACCATTCCTTAAATTGAACTTCTTTTTTTTTTCTTTTTTTTTTTTAACTCTGTTTTTCGGTTTCATAGAAAAAAATTCAGTGACCTTCATTTCCTCATATCATCTTGTATACAACACACATTTCTCCTTGAATCAAAATGAATAATTACAATGGTAATGTGGAACCAGTTCTTGTTTCTCCAGGAAATGGCGTATCACAAGAGAGAATCACAAACAAGAAAAAAAAGAAAAAAGAAAATGTGACATTCTGGTGGAGGTAAAATGCAGGCAATTTCTTGTTTGTACACCAAAAATACTTTGACTTTTACCACGCTGATCAACCGACTACTGATGATCTTCTTAAAAACTGAGTCTTTCTATTCTCAAAAAACTAAAATTGAACAGGATCAAACCCTTTTGGACCTTATGACAGTTAAGTAAAGCACCGCCACTTTAAAGTTAAAAACAAAGATGCACAGAAGAGTCAAGATGTCACCAATGATTACATTTTGTTAGTTAAGGATCATTCAACAAGAATCCGAGTCTGCAAGGCCAACTTTTGTTCAGTTTTAGGGGAGTGTTCTTTTTGCTTATGTATTAATTGTATGATTTTTTTTGTTACTATTGTATTACTGAATTGACAAGAGACTAACACAGTCTAATCAATTAAATATATTGTTTTAGATGTTGGCAAAGATCATATTAATCACATAACATGTTACTATGCAAAGAATACTGCAACAAGGTCGGAACATAGAGGTAGTGTTCAAAATGTTAAAGCAAAACAGGCAAACAGACAGCTTATAATTAACCACATTAAAAGCTTTACATGTTGTGTAAGCCATTATGGAAGAAAAGGAACACCTGATCAGAAATATCTCCCAAATGATCTGAGTATTAAAAAAAAAAAAAAAAAAAGTACAGACTTTTCAGAGAAAATAGCATGTCAGCTATTCTTTGTCTTATTTAATATTTACTCAGAAATTCAATTTGAGGTTTGAACACCCTGCAACTGATACATGTTTTACCTGCAGTATTGACAGTGATGAAGAATGACATGATTTTTTTTTTTTTTTTTTTTTTTTTAAAAATAAAGAAAATTGTATTATTCAATAAAAATAAACAAGTTTTAAATTTAAATAACTATTTTATACTATTTCTTTTAAAATATTCTCATATTCTTAGAATTTCCCATACAGGACAGCTATATTCCCCAAAAGCTATGTCGGGGGATCAAACTAGATCACATTCAGAAACAGTACAAATAAAAAAAAATCATCTGAAAAATTGACATAATTTTGGGGGCTGTATATGAGAGATTGAATCTTGTTGCACTGTAAGTAAACCCCACATCACACTTTTGATGATATATCTGTATATGTCTACACTTTCTTATCACAGTTGTCTCTTCTTTTTTTATCAATATGTCGTCTTATTTTAAGTAGAAACAGTTTATACAGATGTAATGGATTTATCGGATTAAAAAAAAAAAAAAATATGCTTTCAATTAAAACAAACTTTTACAGTCAAATTCTAGATTTGAAATTTTCATCTTTATAGTCAAATGGTGATATATTGTTTAAAAAAGAAAAAAGTGGATCTTATCCAACCATATTTGAGCTATAAAAAACGTCTTTTTTCAGTTTCAAGAAACTGGATTTATCATGTTTTGCATTCAAGCTCTTCATTTCAAAATCATCTATTCTATTCATATAATCTTTAACATGAGTTAGAAAAACAACATGTCATAATCACAGGTGTAATTTCTGCCAATGGAAACCAAAGATTTTATGTTCAAGCCAATTATATTAAACTTCTAAAAAAAATACTTGAAACACTAACAGATTAGATTACACAATATCCAAAAGACATCAGATTATGATAGCAATATAATCATAAACAAAATTTCTTGATTTTGTACCATCTAACTTGGAATTCTAATTTTCACTATAAAACATCACTGGTAACTGAAAGTCAGTATAATGTTGTTGCAATGAATAGAATTATTACAAAGAACATTTATTTTAAATAAACTGTCTTTCAAAGATGCTATTGTTGAAGGAGAAAGGAACTTAAGTATAAAAAATATTAAATTATAAATTGTTTATTCTTAAAAATAAAATGCAGAAAAAAAAAATATGAACTCAAAATCTGGGACTTTTTTTTTTTTTAACAGCAACCATGAGAAAAAAAAAATAAAAAAAGTAAGCGCAATTTCTGAAAACCTAGTTACATAAATAAAGTCATCTTTAGATTTCAGTAAACTTTACATACATCTTTAAAATAACTGTCCATATTTTTGAGATGAGGTATTGTAATTATTTACATTGTTCAAACTGTTGTCCTCATCTTTGTTGCCATATATTCACAATGTTTCAGCAGTAGCATGCTCCGGCCTTCTTCAGGTGATTGAAGGCCAGAGCATACAATGACCGAAACATCATGAATATGGTAACAAAGATGAGGACAACAGTCTGAACAATATAAATAGTGTAAATAATCTTTAAAATAAATAAAAATAAAAGATAAAATTTTTTATTATCTAAATTATCATTGATGATACACATTCTATAAAAAAAAAAATTCAACTTTTGAATATTTCATCATGAAAAGTAAAGGCCTAGAGGGCATTGGTTATGCAGTGTTTATATATAATTTTACAAAGTGTTTTTGCAATCCATAAACAAGATAAACATACAACCAAATACAAACAAGTTGGGATTTTACATGCATAACGAAAGAAAGAAAATGGTGAAGACATTTTATAGAAAGAAAACCTGTTCCTCACATGCTTTTACTAACAGACAAGACTAGCATGCGAGTGTACAGATGCACAATTAATTGCATTTGTTTCTATTTTTTAATTTCTTAAAAAGAAAAATGAAAATAAGAGAGGGAATACAAAAATGAATGCATAAAAGGTTATTTTAACCACTATCCATTATGTAGTGTAAAGGTTTATTGAATTTACATGTTAAACTAAATATTTTAAAGACTGAATTCAAATAAAAAGAAATCTTCCTAGAGGAGTAGAGTTGGACATTAAAAAAAAAAAAATTCCTTTTTGAAAACATTCTACAAAGATTAATTATTGTAAAATACTCAAGTTTACTTGATAAATGTAACCAAGAGCTTTCAATTTTTGAAGAACTAGTATATTAATACTGTCACATGTTCATTGTTGACAACTTTGTTCTTTAATCAGGTAGCATTATAAGAAATGTTATTATGAATCCAATTTTGATTGTTTTCAAGCTAACAATCAAAAAAAAAAAAATTTAATGAGTTTCCATTATGACTTCATGAACTCAAATGGATAAATCTGTTTTCTTTTGCCTCCAAACAGTTGACAAAATGACCTGATAATACAAACTGTTAATGATAATCTAAAAATTGTTGGAGATCCACATTATAGAAAAAACAATTTCAATACCCGAAACTATTTACAGGAGGTTATAGTTACAGAAACAGGAATATAAGAATCTCCTTGAGCATAACTATCAAAATTCTGATAATACCAGAAAGTAATAGACTTCAAAATAAATAGTATCATTTTTATTCTTTGATGGACAAAGAAACACACACACAAACCTTTTAAGAAACAGAATAAAATTATTTTATGAACCAAGAGAGAACGTTAGTTACCTTCATTTGATTAGGCTATTGTTTGCAGAATCATATTTCTGATTTTTCACAAATCATTCTACTTATTAAATAATCTGAGTAGAGACAAAAATTACCCTTAATTAAAAAAAAAAAAAAAAAAAAAAAATCATTTAATAAGAAAAAAAAAGTTCATCAGAAATCTCATGAGAAACTTACATTTATTTTAAAATTGGGTTTCCTTTTCAAACGAGGACTGAATAATGACTTAGCACTATCTTTTGTTAATTCAAAATAAAACAGTTTCTCTCTGTAGCTTATTTGATGTATATGTTTGGTAAAATTTATTTTCTTAAAAGAACATTTTGTATAGTCACCATATTTTCTGAAATCACCACTTTGATGAGTTTATCCATTAAATCCTTTATTTATCTATTATCTACAAATGTTCACCCAATATAAGGCTAAAGAGCCACTCAAAGTAGGTTACTGAAAGAAGTGCATGATATGAATGTAAAGAAGTAGGAAGTGAAGATTATGAAGATATGGAAGATGGGTAACAACTGAGTCTTGACTCAAACAGATTAAGATTATAACACTTGGGAAAGCAGCCACGCAATAGTCTGTTTCATAAAGTAGCAGTTCTTGAGAAAAATGCTGAGCAGAAATTCTGCCTTACAATTGGAATACAAAGAGAATGGGGCTGTTTCATTTCTTTGGGCATAACATAGTGGGTCTTTGCTATAAATGTCTGAATTAGTTGGATCTAAAGAATGGAGTGTTTGAACATATGCCATGGAAATAGAAACAGAATAGAAACAGGCTTGCAACATTGCATCTGCAGAGGATGGAAAATATGCCATCCTTCACATAAATGGCTTTTAACTCTATCAAAACTGGAAAGTGTAGATAGGGCAGCCCCCAACCTAGATATGGAAGCAATATTCCATTTTTGGTTTAATCTGACACCTGTAAATATAAATCATGGTACAAGGGGTGAAGTACTTTCTAGAGGACTCAAGTTGTAAGTTGACTGTTCTTACAGAATCTATAGTAATAGATCGTATAGCCAAAGTCTGGAGTGGACTTTAGTTCCAATAGGACCTTCAATGCAAACAGATCATTGAGAGAGCAGCTGTTCATCATTACTGGAGAAAACTCGGGGCCTGATCAGTGACTGATAAAATGATATGAGCTTGGTTTTAAAGGTATTGAAAGTTACAGGCCAGACCAACCATCCACCCACCTATTTCAGCTCTTTGAATTAGGTCAGAGGAGAGATCAGCTGTCAGGCCAGGATCATCTTCATATTTGCAGGTGATTCCATAAACCATGGTATCATTTGCATAGATGTTTAGTAATAATCTGAGAATGTTAATAAAATGTACAAAGATAGTAGGACTGAGGAGAGAAACTTGGCAGACACTTGCATTGATCTCATGGGGGCTTCAGAAGACTGGCCATTCACAACAACCCTCATGGACCTACCTGAGAAAAATAACTTGATAACTGCATAGATTCTTCTAGAGTTGCCATAGCTGAAGAGTTTATGTAGCAGTCAGAGAAAGATCGGAGTCATTGATTTAATATTGGCCTAAATCAAATAATCCTAAATTAAATCCTTTACATCATATTTCCCAGAAGACATGTATCAACTTCTTTGTTGCTCCTAAAGCACACACATGGCAAGATCTTTGATAAAATTTGTGCACATGTATATTTCTGTATTTGTACATGATCAACATCATTTTCATTTTTTTTTTTTTGCAAAGTTTCATTTTAAGCAAAAGTTTACTACTATAGCAATTTACCACTAATATCCACAAAATGTCCACTATATTTCAAACATCTACTACAGTGACAAACACAAAACAAGTTAAAAATCAAAGTTTACTATGAAACTGAAATGTGAGAAGCAGAAAGTTGGTGCCTACTTACATCTTCCTGTAAAGTCCAGAGAAGATGCCAGGCAAACAAATAGAAGAAAGTTGTTCAAATATTCAATTAATAGAAAGATTTGTCAAACAATATAAAAAATTGGAAGAGGAAGTTGAATATGCCAAATGTTGGCTACATAGATTATTAATAGCAGAAATAAGGCATTCTCAAAAATATTACATTCAGCTAGTAAGCTTCTTTTAAAAGATTTTGAAAATCTATTTTTTTTAATTTTGTTTTAGTTTAGATAACAAGACTTTCTACTTAAAGCACAATTAAAATGTAAAATTATTAAAATCTGGATTTATTTATTCATACTCGTTTGTGTATCATCAATTTTCTGGGACACTAACATCTTTTAAACATCATTTATAATAACTGTATGAAGAAAAATTTATTCTCACCTGTATTCCCTCAACTTTGGAGTTAAATTCTTCAAATGTCATGTAATACCTGATAGTTTGAAGAATCTGACTGTTCTTGATATAAAATATTATTACAGGTAGATATCTAATAATAGTTTATTTAGGGAGTCCATAATAGCTTTAATCTGTTAGTAACTGTTAAAGCCTTTGTTCAAAATTTTAAAAGATAAATAACGATATATTCATTGATTAAAAGTAGGCACTTGTAATTTAAGAGTAGATTTAAGCAAAATCATAAGATAAATACAATATATTCAAGATATTGGAACTCTTACAAAAATGTAATATCTTAATGCAATGTTGATTATTTTACAAGGACCTTTAACACAAGTTTGAAAATGGTTAAATTAATCGAGTAAAACATGTAAATTATTCATGATAAAATGATGTCAATTTGTTAATGAATGAGTAAAACTACCCAAAAATTATTTATATACTAAAGGAAAATTGTATTTGACGCATTTTCTCCAAAGTTTATAATTAGAGATATTAAAAAGAAAAATATTATTGCAACTTGTTGCCCTCGTAGTTGTTACTTGTTGTGATTGACAAAATCACAATTAGTTATTTCATAACAGATTAAATTCTTATTGCCAGTGAAATTATCACTTCAAGATAAACAATCTAGTCACTGGTTCTTTTACTTTAAAAGGTAAGACTAACAAAGATATAGCAAAGACAAGTGACACTTACCTAATGACTGCTGCCTCATGTGGGCTAACTGTGCATAATTTGGCCCCTCATACCCACAAGACTGCTTACAATCGAGAATGTTCTCTCCTTTGTTGATCTCATTTAACTCTTGTTGTGACTTGCTCAGTTTGCTTTTAGACTTCCGAGTGCCAGACTTTGGACTTGTGAAGCGGGACTTACTTTGACTCTTGTTATTTTCCTACAAAAAAACATTATTACTACTACCATTATTCAAGAGACAAGATAAAATATGTCAAACGGGATTTATCAACAATACACAACGTAACTTCTTGTACTGTGTGTGTATATATATATATATATATATATAACAAAAAACCAGAGAGAGCAAGTGGCAATTAACAACTATTTTTATAGTTGTAATCATCCCTTTAGAACAAGATTTATATATCTGATCAAAACGGCATAGCAAATACAAAGGCATGCATGTGTATAAAGCATTTGAATAGAGAATAAGGTAAATGGACAAACAGAGTTTCATTGAAAGCTATTTAATTGGGATTTATTTTAGATTTATATTCACATATTGGTGAATAAAAATCTAAAATAATGGAAAATAAAAATATATAAATAAAATATATGGAGTAATAGTTGCCTAAGATGAAGATGTTATGTAAAGAAACAATTAAATCATTGTTACCATTATCAGTTTTAATGTTTATTTCTTTAAAAGAAAAGGTTTTCAGCAACTAACCTTAACAGAGCTAGAATTGCCAAAAAGTCTTTGGCTTCGTCGTACATTAGTTACATTTGTCTGCAGTCTGAAATAAAAAAAAAAAAAGGTTACAATAAAGATAACATCAAGCACACGAAAGCAACCAATTGAAATGAAAACTATGCATTAAGTATGCTCATAGAATCTGGAACTGAATAGTAGCCTTTCATTTATACATTGACATTAAAATGTATCAAGATATCTAGTTCTAATGTTGGAAATTTTATTTTAGGAAAGAAAAAAAAAAAAAAGGAAAAATTCTTTCTGTGAATAAATAAAGACTATTTAAAGCTTAATATCTACATTTCTGTTGGTAATGACATCAATTTTGCTGTTTTTAATGGAACACTTCAAAAATGATGTATTGTCACCTATTTATTTCCACAGAAACTACACATGTGGAACATTGTTGGATAAAGTAAATTTTCAGCTATAAATCACTATTTTTCTATCTAGTCACCACCACCAGTGATGAACAAAAGCCAGCAATAGTGAACCACTTTTGTTTCACAGCTATTTAAAATGCTTGTTTTTGTCAGATAGGAAAATCCAACATGGTGTTTGAATGAAATAGTTGGCAAAAATTCCCATTCATCAGTAACATTAAACCCATCATAGAATGCAAAGTTCTCAAAGCAAACTTGTGCCAAACGGTTTTCCTGAATCCTCGATGACTTGGCTGTCCGAAAATGATAACATCAAGATGAAACAATGGGAACTGATTGTGGAAAAACAATTATGTGCAACAAGTTTTCAATCAATCAGTTAACTTCTAGATGTTTTTGGGCCATGTTATTGGATCCAGATGGCTATTGTTTGCACATGGAATTATTCACTGGTAATTAATCTTCGATTTGGCTGTGAAAAATATCACGGGGTTAGCATTAACAAATTATGGTCAATTTTCTGATAAAAATCACTTTTTTTATGAAAAAATAATTTCTTTTCACTTCAAAACAATTTTTTCAAACTTCAATCCTTTCTCTTTAAATTTTTGTGAACATCATTGAATAAAAGGAACTGATAAAAAAAACGTCATCTGCTAAGTGGTTTTGTTATCACCCATGTCACAAGGTGTTAAAAAAAAAAAAAAACATATATCAAGCCCTTTTTAACAATATTCCCTTCTTTTTTCACTCTTTGCTCTTATCTTGTAAGTGGTGGGGTTTATCACCAGCTGATGACAACTTGTTTTAACTTTTATTGCTGGCTTGCTTGCTTTGAGCCAGCCATGTCAAAATCAATTTGGCTTAATTTGAACCTTATTTTCCTTATCGCTGCTATTTTTTTTTTGAAGAAAAAAAAAAACTCATGTCAATTTTTTTAACCCCTGGCAGCCAAATAATTGAAAATTACCAACAAACTTTGTTGCATTTTGACCCCCTAGGAATTTTGTTTTCCTTCAAACTCTCAATTTTATACCTGAAATATTTTAATTATGATTTAGGCTTTCTGATTTTCAAAAATGGAAAAAAATGGTTAATTTCCCATTATTGGGGAAAATTTTTGTTTAGAACGAGAAAAAATGCAAAATTTTCACATTTTACACCCTGAAAAAATTTTTGAGTCATTTACACCAGCCAATTTTACTTTTAAATGAAAGAACATATTGTTTGCTTCCAGAAAATACCTAGTTTCATGAGATTCAGATCAAAAGTTTCTTTGATATTTTGTTCAGATGATGACAAAACAGTCATTTTTTAATGTTTTACCTTGTTTTACCCCTATAAATGTATGAAAATCCTTTTTTTCAGATAAAATAGGCTGTGACAAAATGGCTTTTGCTATTTTTGTGATGATTTTTACTTTGGATAGAAAATTTTTACCATAGCAGACCTGAACTGATTTTATTTAAGTTTTTTTTTTGGGGGGGGGGCTGCTATAGGAACCCTCAAACAGCTGTGGTTTAGCAGCAATGTTTGTTCAGAGAACAAGTCATTAGTGAATATCTATATGGTTGATAGAACAGATTACAGGTGCACATCCCAAAACCTGGATAACCAAAAGCTAGAAGCTCATCTCTCTCCTGACCTAGCCTGGCAAGGAAGGGGAGGGTCAATGGAGAGAGTGTAACTGGCTTCTAAAATTTAATATGACCAAAATCAAACAAGTAACACTTCTATCAGGACTGAGCAAAAGCTGAACTTTCACCAGACCTCAAATGAAACTCATATATCCAATCTAATGCTAAAGATGCTGAAAAAATGATGGGTTTATTGTACTGCTCCAGTAAGTATCTGACTCTCCTTGCTATACTTTATCTTGACAAGAGCCAGATCAGACCAAAAATGGATTATTGCTATCATATATGGGTTGGAACTGCCCGGTCCTCACTTGCCTGACTTGATAGAATTCTGAAGCATCCAAGTGGCCTTGTAGATGATTAATTATTTCCCACTCTAAAACCCCTTTCCACAGACGAAATGTTGTGAGCCTCTCGCTGCACTATTACTATTTCCATAGCATGTGTTCTGATGTGATACATTTTTTTAGTCCCCCCCGCCTGACTTTTACAACTGAGACCTGCCATGCCATGTACACAAGACCCTTATATTCCAATAGTAAGAAGAATTATTTTACAGATTTGCTCTCCCAACTTTGAAACAACTTATGCCAGAGAAGCCAAGCCTAATATATGGCTAAGAAGATGCAAGCCATTTACTTACCCTGATTGCTGGTTGGAAGTCGCCAATTCCCGAGTGTTTGTGTTACCTGATTGGCTAAACACTGTTGGTTTTGGCATGGAGGGATTCTGGTTTTGATTTTGACTTCTGCGAGTGACAGGCTGAAACAAAAGAAAATTACATGAAACCAGAATAAGAAAATCATCAAAACTTATTTGGCTAAGGTGCTACCATACTTTTGTAGATTCAAAATTTATAAAAATATTTTAATATTCACCATTGTTTTCCTAAAAAAAAAAAAAAAAAAAAAATGCACTTAATATTGGATAAGCCTAAATCAGGTACAAATTCACTGCTTTGTCTGAATTTCTAAGATGAAAAATTATTGTTTACACTATTTACATGCAGACTATTGTCCAAATCTTTGTTGTTGCTATCACAATGTTTCGGACATAGTACACTCCAGCCTTCATCAGGTGTATGTCAACCCAGGTAACCAACAAGGAATTCTAAAGTGAACACTTTCTAAGGAAAACTCTTCTCAGAGCAAACAGGGTGAACAATAACTAAGCAGTACTAAAGATAAGAACTAGAGGAGATTATCCCAAGATATGGATGAAAACAGTCTACTCCCAAAGATTAAATAAATGGTTCAGTTCAGAATTCCCTGTTGGTTACCTAGATCAACATACACTTGATAAAGCCTTGAGGGTACAATGTCAAACATGTTAGCAACAAAGATTAGAACAATAGTCCACACGTAAATCGCTGCTTTTTGTAATCAAAGAAGCAAAAAGAAGACTACATCACAAAGACAGATATGAAAATTCTGCCATAGGAGATTTCAACATTTCTTTAAGCATTCGATTGATTGATTCATTTATTTAATGGTATATCAACTACTTATGGGTCATGTAATGCTGAAATTTAATTTTCTTAGGAATTTGGAAGTAATAAAAATATATGTTATTCTGCTTTTACAATTGAATACATGTTAGATGATACTCAACTTTTGTGCCTATACATGTTTGTGTGGACATAATTACTAGAGGTGGGGATATGTGCATTTTATGTTGTAGTTTTCTTGAAGTTATATTCTGGAATACACTTTGATTTAAGAGATTATAGGATATTATATGAATTAATGTCAGGAGATAGTTCATGTTGGTTGTTTGGTAGTATTTTAAACAGATTTAGTTAAAGTTGCTACAATTTGTTCGTATGTGCATATTGTTGGTAATTTATTTTTTATATAAAAATATATTGCTGGTATTTTTATACTTTCATAGTGTTTTGTTTGGGTGTTCATTATTTGCCCAAAGCTGGGGCCCTAACAGGTGCTACTACCCCAGGTCAGGGTGAACCTGAAAACAGTAATTAAGAGGTTGTTCAACACTCCTTAAAACCTCCAATCTCCCAATCAGAGGTCTTGCAGCTTATTGTCATATTCAGAACTTATAAACATTTGAAATATAGGAGAAAGTTAATACGAGTTTAAAATAAGAAATGACCAATTTTTAGAAATTAGTCTACATGATGCATAGCATTAAAGTTTTTGTTTTTTTAATTTTGTGTTAATAAAGACATTGTTTTTTTTAACATAAGAGTAAAGAAAAGTATAAGAATCTACAAAAAAGTGGAGAGATGGTAATGTGAAAAGAAAATGTAACACTATAAAATGTCATAAAAAGAAAAGGCTGAAAATATTCTAAATTTTTTGGTACAGTCATTATACTCATCAATTTGTCCCATTTTCTAGTTTGTTTATATTCTCTATGATTTGAGAAATTAAACATAACTTATTTAAGAAGTTGTAGTTTAAACAAGTCTGTATTGCTACGATGTCACTTGTACAAATCAAGATACTGCTGGTTCAATTTGCCGTTCTTGCTTTCTGAACACTTCACAACATATATCCGTCTTTTGTTCTGCCGTTTTCACTGCTTCATCCCTCTTTTATCAGGCCAACACTGCGGTCGACCAACCAATCAGCATTCTTCACTCTTATTCTCAGTTACCCAGGCAAATAGCCTCCTCCAGTTTGACTAATCAGCACATGACTTGCTATTGGTGGAAGCATGCCAAACTGTACAAAAACCCTCGTTACCACACATACTGCTGGAACTGCTAGACAGGAAAGTAATGCCATTTTCATGAGGCAAACTTGCCGATGTCATGTGCTGCCTGTTAAGGTAAGACCCTTATTTTCCTATGCAAGCCACTCTGGCTCACTTGCTTCTACGGGGATGTTCCCCACAGAAGTAATGGTAATTTTAAAAAATTAAAAACAAAAAAATTTCTTCCTTAATCTTCAAAACTAAATGAATGATGGTGACACTTACCTTTGGTCCCCGGGGAGCACGAGGTGCTTCAGAGACAAGATTCTCTGAAAGCGCAACAGGAGTTACCTGGGAAATGTATGGGACACCTTCCTGAGGGCTTGGTGTTTCTAAAGGAAACACTCCAAAACTGGAAAATAAAGTAAATATCTTAAGTATGACAATTCAACCCACTGAATCTAATTTCAAACAATCTCCCTTTTCAAAAGCCTACAAATTTTAGAATGTAGTTTACATTTCTTTCCACTTTCAATAGGAAAGCATCATCCATGACACCAGACTGAGAATTTAATCTGGTAATTATTAGCAGACCACTTAAAGGTCTTCTAAATTACTTATTATTTGTGTAAGAGTAAAAATGGCCTAAATAAAAAGTACAAAATTGACTTCTTTTTTTTTTTAATTACTCCTTACATTCGAAATAAATTATAAGCATATCATGAAGTATACAAGTAACTACACAAGCAGCCTTTTCATTGTTTATTTATTAAATGGATGTCTGCATGAATTTCACATTGTTTTTATGATACACAAAGGAAATGATAAGAGAAGAATTTGACTATCACATATGCATAGATCTCTGAGCAGCAGATGATACTTCAGTCTACAAAATGTGATCTTAGGTGCTATTTTTACACTTACCTTCCAATTGGCAAAGAAAAGCACTAATTTAAGTACAGGGTGCTATGGTTAATTTGTTGCCATCTTATATTTTTAATTTTGCCCATGTGCATTGTTTGTTTTTGATTTTATCAACTACACAGTATAGTAGGGTCAGTTGGGCACCGTCTGTGAGAAAAGGAGTACCATGACACTCCACCGGGAATTTGGAAACGGCATGCTGCAAACTCCAACATGAATATTTCAGTGTGTTTGGGTGTCAATCCGAGGACAGTGCAGAAGATTCGGAAAGAATTGGATGAGTCTAATGGTAATTACAATGGTGTTTGGAGTGATCACTAGTGATGTTGACGTTATGCCACCTACATCTTCCCATAAGGCCTCAGACTTATCACAGAGGACTACATCAAGTGCCTTGAGAAGGTAGTGCTGCCCTGGGTCAAGAAGGTGGCTGCTGGAAGACCCTATGTCTGGTAATAGAACTCGGCACAATACCACAAAAGCAGGAGAACCCAGTCATGGCTGTCAAGCAATTTCTGCAACCACATCACCTCTTTCTTTATGTGGCCACCTAACTCCCCAGACTGCAACCACCTGATTATGATGTGTGGGGCACAGTTGAGTGAAAGACCAACAAAACTCCTTGTGACACCAAAGATGAACTGAAAGCAAGGATATTGGCAGCATTCACCAATTTAAACAAGGAGATCATCCAGAAGAGTTGCAGGAGATTCTGACATCATCTGGAAGCCATGGTTGAAGTCAGTGGCAATTTTATTAAATAAATTTACTCTTTGGTATTTCAAGATATTGTGTAATTTTGGTAAATATACCTATTAAAATGAGATGTCAGTGTCATTTTTGTGTAATTTAGACGACAATTTATCCATCGCATACTGTATATTACAATAAAAGTCAAGTTTTATATTTATACTGACATCAACAGTAATTTTATCTTAAGATTGAAATTTTCATTTTTCTTAAAATGTTAAAATTGGTATATGGTAATTAAAATAAAAAGTAAAACAATTACAAAGTAATTTTATAGTGAATTTTATTATAATTAAATACGTTAATTATTAATTAATTCTTAAGAGTTTATTCTTTCTTTCAAATTTTTACTGTTTACTAACAGCAGTAGAACAATGAGTTGAGTAATTGTAATAAAAAGCAACTGAATTTAAGATGAAAAATACGATAAAAAAATATAATCTCAAAGTTACTGTCATTTGATAAAATTACACTAATATTTAAAAAATTGCATTATTAGAATATTAGAATTAATGAAAAAAAATATTCACATCAAATATTACTGCTTTTTGTTTAAAAATTTATGTACCTTGCATTCATCCAAGATAACCAATAATATTTTACACACACACACACAAATTGTTTTTCCAATAATATGTACCTTTCATTTTAAACAATCCTGGCACTACACAATACTTATATGTATCATATTGACAGTTTTTATGTGTGCTTCTCTGGTATATTATGACATTCAATTTGAGTTCAATTGACACATTAACAAATTGAAATTCATAATTATTATCTCTCCATCAAATATTAGAAGCTCAAACTAAAATTTAGCTTTTGAATTGAACATTTTTATTTTCCCTCCTCCCAAATATTTCAAAACACTATGGCAACATTTCTTACCTTGGAGTCAAAGGACTGAGATTAGGAAACCCTAAATTGGTACGGTTGCCACCACTAAAATACTGACCCCGGCTAGCACGTACAGACTGGCTCCCTTGGTGTAAAGAACTGTCTGTACTGCTTGGTGGACTCAAGGCATCTGGCGTCATAGCTAGCTTGTCTGCTGGTAGGGGAGACTCAAACTAAAAATAAAAAACAATTAAATCAGAGTACAAAATTTAAGCTTTTTTCTTCCTATTTAATTATTTTCAATTAAATTTGGAACAAAGTAAATTCCTGTTTTTGCATTACATTAGTGTGCTTGTTTTAGTTTACATCATTTATAGCATTTTAAATGTTCTCTACCACCTCTTTAGGGTGTTTGCATTTTTGGATTACTCTTTTTGAGCATATTGAAGCAAAGATGAAGGAAAAAAAAATGAAAAAAAACAATTTTCATGTCATTTAGGCTCTACAAGTTCAACCTCTCCTACTGTACTGCCAAGATCAGCTGCAGTATCTACAGATACAAAAAATTGCTTCTGGTAAATTGGGTCTCTAAAAAGAGCGTGGTCATAGTCACAAATCATTACTTGACAGTAGACAATTGAGGGCAGCTGTAAAAAGTAATTTGGAAGCAAACACTCAAGTACTGAGAGCAAAAGTGGGTGTAAATCATATAAGAGAAGCTATTTAGTGCAAATCAACAATAGGAAAATTCAGAAATGGGTAGGTCATAATCAGCAGATTGCACAATTTCACATCTGATGATCCTTTCTTGATTATATGTGCTTATTGCTGAAGAAAAGTATCAATTAACACTTTTTCCATGTCTTACACACCAGCCAGTATGCACTAATAGAGACTAGATTATAAATACCGTTCAGCAGTTTGTCGTTTTCAGTGACCCCAGTTTTTATTGTGATGTTAATTCACTGCTGAAACAGTAGCAACATGTTAATTCTATTGGTGCTTATTTTGATGCAAATCATATTTAAGCCAAGTTATATCTCTTGTAATTCAAAATTACCATTTATTTTGTTCCAATCAGATAAAAGAAATTTTAACATAATAGACTTTACAGAAAAAGTCATTTTTATTGAAAACTGAACCAATTTCAGCAATCAAAAATTAAAAATGACATGACTAGAAAAAAAAAACAAATCAAATATCAACAAATGGCTACAATTGAAAAAAAAAAAAAAGGAAAAAGAAAAAAAAGAGGAAAAAGCGAAGGAGTGAGTATAAAGTTGGGAAAAAACAAAGGAAAGGACAAATAATCACAACACCCTACATGTACGCATATTTGTGAAAACCGGTGCATGTGCAAATGCACATCCACACAGTCACATGAGCCCAGATGCACAAATGTGCACACACACAATATGAAAAAATCTGCACCAATGATAAGTGCATATAAAAAAGAAAAAGCGAGAAGTATAAGCAGTCAATTGGTGATAAACCCTGACGAATGAACAGATGAATCTGCCTACAAAACTCTGGAGCCAAGATGCTGAAGGTAACATCAATCAACTAAGTGACAAACCTTTTACTTATATTAATTCTGTGTGTGTGTGTGCGTGTGTGTGTGTGTGTGTCTCTCTCTATATATATATATATATATTTTTTTTTTTTTTTTGTTATGTTGGCATATGTCAAAAAACAGCTGTCATTAGTCCATTGGGAGATTGTACAATTTTCTAATATATGCCAAAAGACATGGGACAGATACATAGTATGTTGGATCCTCTCTAGCCAAACAAAATGCAGTAACTTGAGTAATGAAAAAATGGAGAGATGTTGAGTTACACTAACTCAATAGCTGTCCACAGCTCCTTGATATTTCTAAATGCAGGATCTTGTGTGCAAATAGATATTTGTGCCATGTTCCATAATAGCCCATATCCAGTAAATGTGATGGCTACACAATTCCTAAGACGACTGAAGAATTATGCTTAAACCAGTTCTAGACTACTTTTGCTTAACAACAGTGTATTATCCTTGCTGCGGTACATCAAAACCATAAACAGGAGCAAATAGTCACAAAGCAATCACAGATCAATGATGTGACTAGACCAACAGACCCCAACCCATGTCACTTTAAAACACTACACACCATTATGGAACCTAATGGTGCTGTTTTGATAACTAGGGTTTGTCACAGCCAAAATCTATTATCAGTCTGAAACATCTGAAACTGTGACTCCTCAGACTATATCAAAGGTTACCAATTTTCCAGAGTCCAATTAGCAATGTCACAATCCTAGATAAAGCACAGTGTCTGGTGTTGTAATGCTAACAGGATCACCCTAGTGGGTCTTCTGCTCTCGTTTCCCATAAAAACAAAAAATTGCTGAACTGACTTGCTGGATATACATCTAGTATCTTTTGCATTGAATGTAAACATGATTTGAATCAGTGTCACTTGTCTGTTACTAGAGACAATTCTACCCAGACACTTCTGGTCAGAATCATCAAAGACCCTTGGTTGGCCAGTAAGCAGTCTATGGTAAGCAGGAATGCCTTCTATCAGGTATTCCAAGTACACACATGACACTGCAGATTGATGGATGTCAAATGTCTCCACAACTTCAGAAATAGAATGTCCCATTCATCTAGCATCCATCATCATGTCCTATCCAAACTCCAACACACATTAGCTTGCCATAAGCAGCCTAGGCGATGTTCACATTGAAACATTAGGTCAAAGTACAACTGATATAGATCTGGATATTTCCAGGACATAGAAGTTTGGTGGTGCATCCTATCATTACCTTTACATACTACTAATCCATGACTTTTGGTACATCATTTCTTACTGGTTTAAGTTTATCAAGATATCAAATGTAAGAGGTAATTGGAGAAGTTATATAAAAGAAAAACAAAACATGATAAAACAGTTTAATCAAAATGTCATTTCAATTCTACCTCAACACAAAAAGCTTCATGAACAGACAACCATTTGAGTGAATGTATGTTTTTGAACTAAAGCACCAATACTATTTTATTCTGATTAACATCTTCTCAATAACCTTCCAATCAGTCAAAGCGTCTGTACTCTTATTAGGAATGATGGTGTGAATTTACCTTACACAGACCACCAGGTGTACTTTCTGACATAAGAGAGATAGTGTCCTGAGTTGGGGGGATGATCTGTGGTGACTGCTGTTGCAGCTGCAATTGTTTCAATCTACCATCCAGCTGTTGATAGAAAGGATTTGGAGTGTGGACAGGAGTTGACTGGGGCAGGGGTACTTTTGGTGGTTGGAAGATCTTCGTAGCATCGACTTTCTCACCTAAAAATGATCAATATATATATATATTGTTTAAAAAACTATCAAAGAGTAAATGCCATATTGTGCAGCATGCATTTTGTTTTTCAATTTATAAAATTTTCATTGTGTAAAACAAAATCCAATAAATATTTTAGATGATTTATCCAAGATCTCTATAAAAGTTTGTTGCATATAAACAAGCAGTAAATTAAATATTGTTAGAAGAAATATATACATGTAAAATATATACATGTAAAATATATACATGTAAAATATATACATGTAAAATATATACATGTAAAATTTTAAGAAACTAAAAAAGAACTTACCTAAACTACAAAGTTTAGCAAAAGAGCTCCACAACAAAGGATTCAATTTTAAACTTTTTTGATAACATTCTGAGGCATTGGCAAACCTTTCAGTTTTACTAGAAAAAGGAAAAGATATGAGATTAGATAGGTTTTATTTAACCAATTTTTACTAGTTATATTGTGTAATAAATACGTATTTGGTCCTCATTATCTACAAAGCAAAAACAAAATCCTAATATATTTATTATCATCACAAATATATATTTATTTAGCAAAATATTATTCATTGCATTCCAAATACGATATCTATATTAATACTAAATAAAATATAAATCAATGTCAAATTCTAAGATTTTGGGCTTCTAAGTTGTCAGTATTTATCTGTAATAGACCAAAGATATGACATTTAAGTCTTTGGTATATTGAAGAAATAACTACTGTTAGGTTTTCTACCTACAAACACAGCCAAATTGCCATTTTCCTACCTTGCCCAGATTCTATAAAAAGCACAAAAGAGTTACAATACTGATGAAAGACTTTTTGCAGATTTACATAAGATGCATTACAAAGGGTTTCAAATAATTATAGGAAAATGCTAAACTGGAAACAAGTGTTTTAAACATAAGTTTCAGGTAACAAGTCAGTAGAATAAAAAGATTTCAAAATTGCAAATCACCATTATAATTGTAAATCAAAGAACTGCTAAGAAGCATGAATTTAAAAAAGACTTCTCACTAATGCTTTTCAAAGATACACATGCCATTCATGAATACGTACATTAAATTCAACCTTTTTTTTTAAACTCTGGACATTTTGGAAGAAAATATCCAGCTGACATAATTTTAATAATTCAATTTGTTGAGTGAGTAGCCATGGTTAAATGCATAAAAAATAACAGAACTGTCCAACAAACAGAATGAACAAAGTTTGCAATAAAAAGAAAAAGGAACAGGGAAAAAATGAAATAATATCAAGCAAGCAAGCAAACATTATATGCAAAGCAAATTAACAGGTAAGAAAGCAAAAAGTTCACAAAACTAATAATTGACGTTGACACACAAAAACAAGGTTGGACAAGAAAATGCAGTGGTCTTCTAGAAAAGGCAGATCTGGGCTGAGGTTATTTATCTCGCTTCCCCACAAGGTAGGATGTGGCACAAGCCCATTATTTTACGTGGGGCAAATTCAAGCACATAGACTTGGGCAAAAATTCCTCGTAGACCCCACATACACAAGGTCAGGTTTGTCTACCTCCCCAGACGAGACTGCTCTTCAGCAGAGCCTCATCTGGGTTCCTCTCTGCCCGAAAGCAGAGAGTTCGACAAGTCAGTCCACACCACTTGAAACGGCAGATCTGGACTGAGTCCTGTCAAACTGCAGAATAGCCTATTTTATTGACTAAGAAAAATATCCCAGCATGCATTTGTGGAATTCTGCCTATAAAAAGGGAGGGAGAATTGTTTTGCAGTCATTCTTAATATAGATTGAAATCAACACCCCACCCTGTGGGTTATTTAATGCCAAATCCCATTTATGTAAACATTGGCATACAAAAGCAAGGTTTGCTTTTGTGTGTCAACATTTACATATGTATATGCAGGAATAGCTTATACGTACATTGTTTTTCCTCTTTGTTTGGCAAGTAGTACATATTTATCTACACAGTAACCTCAAGTTTCTACATCCTTTGATATAGTCCCACCTCCTTCAGAAATTAAAAAATATTATTTGGATCAACCAGTTCAAATAGGTCTTCCAAGTTGATGATCTGGTAATATTTGAGACAAATTTCATAAAAATCAATACACTTCAGCCGTATGTGTTCAACTGTAACTGGTTCATCACATCCTACACAGAATGGAGGACCCTCTCCTTTAAGCAAATGTGAGTGTGTTATATATGTGTGGCCTATGCAGAGTTGAGCAAGTTCCTCCTTTCTTACTTTTCAGTAATTCTGATAGGTCTTGATCATTAGTTGAGTCTTTTTTAATTTGTTGTTTACACAGCCATCCCAGAGAATTTGCCATTTATTTATTATAAATTTATTACTGGTTTAAAATCAGTGTATGGAATTTGTTGTGTTTTGATGCTGTATAGTGATCTTTTAGCAACTTTATCCACTTTCATTTCCCCGAATGCCAACATAGCTCAGTATCCAACAGAAGATAATCACTTTGGCATTATAGATTTTACTCATTCTGTTGCTAAGTTGAACAACTAGCAGATTTTTCATATTTTTATTTTGTAATATCTCAAGTGTGAACTTTGTACAAATCATAAATTTGTTTGATCTGCTGCTTTTGATAATGTCCAATGCCATACCAATGACTTAACTCAGTGGTATAAATTGATGCAGTCCTTGACAGTTTCTTTATGTATTCTTTGCTACCATAGATGGCAGTACTTCACACTACGTCTTCATCCTAAGATCCATCTGTATATATACATTCATAGTCTGAATACTGGTCTTTCATGTTTTCAAATATTTCCTGAAACATAATTGGATTTGTTTTATTCTTTGAGTATTTTATCAAATCTAGTATAAAACTTGGTTGCTTCAATTGCCAGGGTGGAATTTTAGAAATCATTGATTGGTGTATGTGACTAGAGTTCATTTTCATTTCTCCAGTGAGCTCTCTGATACAGAGACTGAAGGGTTTAATGGCCATAGGCTTCTTCTCAAAGAGGGTCTTGTACTGTGTTTTAAATAAACAGTCATAAGCAAGATTTGATGGATATGATGACAATTTGGTAAAACAAAAATACTGAACGCTTCACGAATTTATGTCTCATCCTTGCAGAAGAACCATGCTAATCTTTTCTGTATCATTCCAATTTTAGTATATGTACTGCCAAAGCAAGTACAGGCCAATAAATACAAACAAGATACATGCAAACATTTACATATATATATATATATAATTGCATAGATGATGGGAAATTTTTTGTTTTGTTTTTTAATATTTCAAATTTTTTTTTTTTTAAGTTCTTAAAGATGATAAACATGCTGTGGGGGAGAAAGTTTTGTGATAATTTATTCCAGGTTTTTGTGAGTAGCCTTTTGCAATGAATCTTGCTTTGAACTGTTCATTACCAGTGTTATTAGTTTTAATAGTATACACCCACAACAGTTTTTACCTGGTGGAAGCTCTGTCAATTCATATGTATTTTTCAGTTTTTAGGGCAGTTATCTCTTTATCCATATCTTGCCATTTTTTTTAGAGTCATTTGAAGTAATCACTTCATTATAATTAGTGGGTATATGCTTTACTGAACAGCAATCTTTAGATGGATTTACTACATTGTCTAAATTCTTATCTTTTTAAACATTCAGGCATTTTTCATAACCAGCTAGGAAAATCGTTTGTCTGGTATTTCTGCATTAGGATTGTGTAGTTTCACTTTTTTGTGTCCCCTTTCCACAAGGATTTTTCAGCAGATAGTTGGCAAATATTGCATAATTTTCTTCAGCTGGAAGTAAAGAATTGTCAGATGTAGGATTTTCAAAGTTTTCAGTAAATTTTACACACTGTACTCTTGACATTCTTAGTTTCAGGTATATATGTTAAATAGGCAGGGCTTGATTTATCATAGCTTATGAAAATTGCTTTTCCACCTTTAATGTCCAAGTTCTTTCTATCTTGTATGCAGGCATAACAAATTGTGGCAAATGTATGCATATTGTTGAAGTTAGGTTTCCGACCAGTGAATATTTCAAAAGTAGTTTTCTTTGTTCTTTGACTATAATATTGATTTCTAATATATGCAGCAGTCATAATAGCATACAACCACAAACATTTTGGTAGCTTTGATTCTATTAATAGACATCTACTCATTTCGAATAGAGATCACCAAGATCGTTCTGCAGTACCATATATGGGGTCCGATTTCTCATGTTTAATTTGATTATTAAGTAAAAGATTTTCAAAGTTTTTAGAAGTGAATTCTGTGCTATTATCACTTCTTAGGCATTTTATAGAGCCACACAAAGCAATGTCAGCCAAATATTTCTTTGTGGCGAAAAATGTATCACTTCTTTGTTTCAGAAAATTAACCATAATTAGACCAGAATAATCATCCACAAAACAAAGTGTATATTTGAAGCCATTCAAAGGTCTCTGTTCATTTGGGCCAGTGAGATCACAATGAACAAGGTCTAATATTTTAGTTGCCCTTTTGTCAGGTAACTTGTTTTTATACTGTACCATTTTGCCTTGGATACATATTCACAGTTTAAATTTGAGTTATTGACCATTTTCATGCTTTCCACAACTTCTTGAAGTAGAATAATGTCTTTCAGATTGCAATATGCAAGAATTTGATGCCATTGTTTCAGGCTACATGTAGCAGTTTCAGATTTTACTGCAGTATAGGTGCCCATTTCTTTTTATGTCAAATTTCACACCATTAGAATAGATAAGTTCTGAGTAATTACAGACAATTTTACAGATAACCCCTTTTTCAGCAATGGCTTGTACTGAGAATATACTTTGTTTGAATGTAGGGATGTATAGAACATTTGTTAAAAGGCGATCTCACATATTTCCTTCTGTATCAGTTATAGTGATTTGAGCATCACCTTTTTATAAAGCAATATTACTGGTTTGACTACCATCTGCCAGTTCAATATGATTTTCTGGATTAAAAGTATTATCAGACATAAGAAATTTAGATTCATCAGTAATTACATGCGTGGTAGCACCACAGTCAACAAGTAAAAACCGTTTTTGTTGGAAACAGTATCTAGTCACAATTGAAAACAGAAATGAATTTTCATTATCTGAAACATATTCAACATTTTTTTTAAAAATGAGCTTTTTTTTTTGTTTTTGCACTTGATACTTTTATGTACATGTTTGCAACAAGCATGGGAAATAATATTTTTATTTGGTGGATTGGAATTATAATGTTTTGAGGAGAAATTATTTACTGGGTAATCCCGAAATTTACTTTGGCAATCAGGCCTTTTATGTCCAAGTTTACCACAAGTTTGTGGCTTTGGTCTTGGTATTCAGAGAGTCATTACAGTATTTTCATTGTTATTCTCCTGAATCATCTTTTCAGTTTCTTCAAAGCTTCGCAATGCTACTTTGAATTCACTAAATGTTAGTAGCTTGTCTTTCTGAGTAATAACAGTTGTAAATGGCTCGAAATTGGATAGTAGAACTTTTAGGACCATGGCAATTAGTAAACTATCAGTAATTATTCCCAAAAAAAGTTTTCAATAAAGTGGCCGATTTTTCAGCTCTAATAATATAATCAGTAATAGTTTCAGCACTGGATTTGCATTGGGATGTTAATTCTGTATACAGGGAAATTATTTTGGGCTTTCCTTTGAATAAATAGTGCTCTCTCAAACATCACCAGGAGCTCATAATAAGAGACATCAAAAAAATCTCAATCATCAAAAAATTGAATTTGCATTCTTTTCACAGTAGTTTTCGTCATTGGGATAATCAAAAGGTGCCAAGATTGTTTTATGTAATTTTTCGATTTACATTTAACCCCAAAATTTTACTTCCAATAGTTCATATTTTGATTTTTCACTGTTGAAGCAGAGTCTATTCCTGGGCAGATAACCTGTTGAGTTAGTAGCCAAAATAAATAACAGAACTGTCCAACAAACAGAATTAACAAATTTTGCAATAAAAAGAAAAATGAAATAATATCAAGCAGGAAAGTAAACAATATATGCAAGGCCAAAAGTTCACAAACTAAGAATTGGCATAGACACACAAAAGCAAGGTGAGACATGTAAACACTGCAGTCTGTCTTCTACACAAGACAGATCTGGACTGAGTCATGTCAAACTGCAAACCAGCTTATTTTATTGGCTAAGAAAAATATCCCAGCATGCATTTGTGGACTTCTGCCTATAAAAGGGGAGGGGGAAATATTTTGCAGTCATTCCTAATATAGATTGAAATCAACACAATTGATCATCGTATATTACAATCAAGGGGAAAATAAAACACAAAAGCAAAGTTTAAAAAGAAAGAATTTGTATAGACTAAGTAATTAAACAAGTTAATAATTCAATTACTTGGAAATTTAAAATGACAATATGATACTGTATAATAAAAATTTTTTTTTTTTTTCATGTATTTGTATCTGAAATAAATAGCCAAATCGTATTACCTATAAAGATGACCCAATAAACTGAACACATGGCATGCCACCGGACCATATTCTACTTCTATCTCCTCGAAAGTCTTGCTTTTGGAGACAGCATTTCCAACCAGTAGCTCCTCTGCTTCAGACAGTCTGAAAAATATTCAAATTTTTTTTTTTTTTAAACTAAACTTTTCTATGAATTAGGCAACAACAAAAATCATTTACTTTTGCAATTATAAACAAACAAAACTGTCCTTTTGTCATCATTCATAAATTCCAGTGGATTCATTCAATATCCCTTAAATAAAACAGAATATAAAACATAAAAATAGCAGAATTTTTGAAAGTGATACAATAAATCAATAAAAAAAATCAGCAGATAAGAATTTTAAGTTTACAGTTTACCAACAATTCTTGAACAAATGATAAAAAATAAAATTTTAAATTATATGATGGTTTTAAATAATAAATCAAGTCTCCAAGAATAAAAAATATATTGATAAAACCTTTTAAAATTAACTACAGCCAACTCCCCATGCAATATAGATTAGACAAGAACAATCAAAAATAAAATCACCCAACTGTCATGATTCAACAGCTACATAATTGGCCAGTAACACAGACCATCAATAAATTGAAGCTTCATCAGTCACAACTGCTTTATCTAAAGTTAACATTTCTGTTAGATGCATTAAATGTTAGGCTTCTGCAAATGAAGATGATTGAGCATAGTTTATTCTACATTATTTAAAATTTAAATTGGTTACAAAACATTACAGCAACCAAGATATAAACACTGACTGTAATCTCCAAAATTATGTTAAAAAAAGTAGAAAACAAGTCATGTTTAGTAAAACTTGGTATTACAAGTTATTTTAAAATTATAAAATACTTGGCTGCATAAAAAATTAAATCTTATATTAATAGAGTTACACAAATTTGTATCACTGTTCATGGATAATTCAATAAAACATTTATCTAAAGCCATATACAGTTATATATATATATATATATATATATATATATACAACTGTTTAACTAAATAGACCTAAAATGATTATGTAGTTATGCAAATATAAAAGAAGTTTTTATTTTTAAGTCATTTAATTTTTTTTATACAAACTAGAAATAGTATATACTATATTATAGTGTAGTTTATAGACACCCTAATTTCAGCATCATATGATGAATAAAAACAATAGAAATCACATACTCAAACAGAAAATATATATTGAGAAACATTTGAGAGGGAACCAAACATTGCAGTATCAGAGAAAAACAAAAATAACTATAAGTAATGTGGAAAGCAATATTAATATATATACTATATATACTACTATATTTTCATGAACTGAAGACACCCATTCTTTTTCCCCAAATTAAATTTCAAAGATTTATCCTGTATCCTACAAACTTTTTAATTAATTTAAAAGTCAAAATTGGGGTGCATCCTTGATGTAGGGAAATAAGGTAATTACAAATTTATGTTCATTGTATACTGCTTAGACAGACACACAAAGTTTGTCTTTGTTTTTTTACTACACAATACTGAACAAATTACTTCATACAATCTACAGAAAAAAGATTGTATTCAAATCTTGAGCAATTTATGCAAAGATTCAAATGGCAATATGAAAAATAATCTAAATACAGTTTAACATTCTTCTATGCACCATGTCCTGTGAGCAATCATGGCTATCTACTTCTTATTCCTTGTAGCAATTGTCTTTTTACTATCCATCATATTACCCTGTTGTTCTAGCCATTTTCACAAACTTGTTAGGTAAGTTACTCATCATTTCCCTCAATATGTCCTGAAAGTGTCAAATTTACTAAGCTTTCTGTTTTCATCAAGTGTCCTAAAATGTCAACTGTTTCTTTTGATTTTAATTTTCTCACCAATTACCTTCAAGTAATTTTAATTTCAAATTAGATTCTTTTCTAATAGACATATATATCTCAAACCTACGGGTGTAAAAATAAATATACTCTTAAAAAAAATTATCATATTGCATATAAATGCATCATATGAGAGTGGACATTCAAAGAGTCAGAGAGAATAAAAGAAATCACAGCAATCAAATGGCTGCAAAAACAAAAAAAAAAGAAAAAGAAATAAAGCCATATATTCACCACTTTCATGTTAATAAAATCTAAATTATATAAGAAAGGCAAGAGAAGAAATGATAACTAAAACTGAAGAACATGTTAAGCTTATAACCTGACAGGCAAAGTAAGGTTTGCAATCTCAACTTATTTTTCATATGCAGAAAAGTTTGAGCTTTGAATGTGCAAAGGAATCAATAAAAAAGAGATAGTAGAAAAGATGCATACAATAGAAATATTTTTTAATCAATTTGTGATCTGTCAATAAAGAAGCTTAATAATGAATAATCAAAATTGCAACATTCATAATATTTAATACTTAAATTTTGAAAAAAAAATTACATAATACTTTAATTACTATGGATGTGCAGGTGGTGCAATGATTAGTGACTCTGAATAAGAAATCAGCAAGCCAAGTTCAAATTTGAGTCAAGTTTACTATGTTCAGTTTCACACAAATACTCCTGGGATAGGTATGAATATTTCTCTTCTCTCTCCAACTTTGGGTTAAATAGCAGAGCAAACTGAGCTCTCTCACTATGTTTGGCAACCAGTTTAGGGGAAAGAAAAACTGAATTCAAAACTTTGTAGCGCCACAAAGCCCATACTATGTAGCCAATGAAAGAATTGTGGAGTTCACAATAGTACTAGGATCCCCGATTGTAGTCAATGTGATAGTGAAATTTTAGCAAATGTTCCCTATTTATTTGAAAATGAAATTCAATAAATTAGCTGCCCTGTCTTTAAAGAGTGATCTTAAGATAATTTCAAATTCAAATAAAAGCAATTTCTTTGCTTGGTAACCAAATATCTACTAGTGGACATCGAATGAAAATGAATGCAAACAAGGTTTATTCTCTGTCCACTCATTGATTAATATTTATGCATTAAATTTGTCATCAATAATGAAGAAGGATAAAAATAAACCATCTAAAATCATTTGCCAGTTGTCTATAGCAAATTAAATGAGCATGTAAAAGTAACCTGGGATACATTTTATTACTGAAAGACTATGCAGTAACACAGCATATAATAGTTTAGATTGCCAACCTCTTAACCCACCCTGCCATTTCAATTCTGTTCCCATGTGAGAAAAGTATAATTATTGTAGGAGCAATGTGATGGCGTCAGTAGTAGCACTGGATGTTTTAATATCAGCAACAATAGTAGTATGCAACTGTTACTTGTGTACATCCATTGACAATATAGGTTAGCAGGTTTGCCATAAAGAAACAGAAATGGCTGCTTCTCAAACTAATATCTGTTACTTTCTTAAGTGGGGAGGGGGGTAATCAGCATAAATTTACAAATGTTACTCACAATTTTTAACTGATAAACTGAAAGGAAAAATATGCCTATTAATTACAAGAAAGTATGTGGCACTAAATGTAGTTAAACTAACTAAAATGCCATTTCCCCAAGATCAGAACCACAAAATCAAGTGGTATCTAGAAAGTATTAAGTGAAAAAAAATGGTGGCAAAACTTGTAACAAAGTGATACCTATAAAAATTCCTAAACATCTGAAACTGCAGTGCTTACATACAAGTGGAATTGATTGACATAAATCCTTTTAAAGACATCAGATTTACTATGTGGAAAGGGTTTCTTGGTCTGACAGTAGAATCTTACATCTGAAATAGTTTTTTGCTACACTGGAAAACACAGACTATTTTATACACCGATTATGAGTCTAAGTAATGGTTTTATTATTTCAAAAAGGTTTTATCTACATTTTACAAAGTTGTTCATCTCTGGTATTTTCATAAGGTGAGCAATTATATAACCGTAAGCAGATAATAAAAAGTAAAAATGCCTATATAACTTAATATACTTTTGATTTACCATATTCAAACTGATATGTATTTTTCTACATATTAAAAATCTGCAAAATTGAACACTTGGGCTGATTAAAAGTTTTTCTTGTTCAAAGACAACACATTAATGTTGCACTTTATTTTATATGCATTGTTTATATATATATATATATATATATATATATATATGTGTGTGTGTGTGTATATACATACATATATATACACACACACACACACACACACACATACATACATACATACACACAAATTAATAATGATCATCTCAACTTTTATGACAAAATATTAGTAGAAAATTATAAGATACAATTAAATATTTAAGTATTTATGAACATCAAAATATTAAAGAGAAAAAGACTTAATGACATGTTAAAAATAATTTTGTAAAAAAATTGTTTCCTCATTAAAGAATATTATTTTATTGAGAAAATTCATGTAAATTTTACAAAGAAAATTTTGTAACCTATGCTTAAAAAAATTGCAGGGGCAATAAATTTGGAAGTGTTTATAATTATTAGACATATATATAAATTAAGATTTCAGACACTTACCCCCTCTTACCAAATTATTATGCATACAAATTAAAAATATTTTCTAATAAATGAAAAAATATGACTTTTTTTTTTTTAATTTTGATAAATTACTTTCATCACTGATTAGTTGCTCAGAATGAAAACCATGTTAGAGTTTATGGCATAAATCCAATTGCTATCACCATAATGGACAGCAAGTTAGTGTTACAGAGCTTTTCTAATGTAGAAAAACTGTGTTGCACTAGCTGTCCCACATTTGTGATATTGTATCATACTGAACGAAACTTAAAATATTAAATATCTGTTAAATGACTGTTGGAAATACAAAAAGATTCTCAGTTCTATTCATAAAATCTGAGTACTATATATATATATATTTTATTTTAAATAATTTTTCATGAAGAATTTACATTTGTATATATTAAAAAAAGTGATAAATGTTGGTGGAAAACAAAAAACCTATCCACCCTACTTTAAAACTTGAATATAATTATTGAATTATTAATTTAAATTATAAGTATATATATAAAATGTGAAAAACATTTATGTTGGGTCAAAAATGTTGTCATGTGTATAAATTTAAAAGATGAAAACATTCTATATTTGATGGCTCTAATTTTTTATAATGGGTTGATGCAAAAATTCCCATTTTATCTTTCACACAATGAGGAACAGTATTAGAATTATCTTTGATGCTTACTCATCTTTTTATTACTTGGGAACTTGATCAACTGTTGCAGGACTTTTACAAGGAAAATTCAGAAAATAAAAAATATGAGTTCCACATGAACTGATGGAAAGTAACATTGATGTGTTTTTAAATGCTACTCTTTCTCAACACTTTAAATGAAAGGGATTTTTGAACAAGGTAAATGTTACTAATGAAAAAAGAAATGTATTTAATATGTTAATCTAAAACAAAGAAAATCAAAATCAAAGACTGTCTTCAAGTGATTAACCTAAATAAAATTTACTTGAGGCAGCAGGGGTTACTTTTGTGTTTGGTGTGATTCAAAGAGAATTTCTGGAAACTGGACAAACGTTAGAGGGAACAATCAGCTTGTCTGAATGATTCACTGGAAAAAAAAAAAGAAAAAAAAAAGGACCTTTTTCTGGGCAAGGGGGTTAATCAGTGATTTTACTGCATGACAACTCATGTGGCAAATGTGATACAGCACAAACTCTCATGAAAGTGGGATAAGAGGTCCTCCTACATGCAGCAACATATTCTCCAAATGTGTCACTTTCAAACAATCACTTATCTAATAAGTAGTTGCAACAAGTTTAAGATTACAAAAATTTCATTGGCACAAACCTGGAAACAATCTTTTTATCTAAAAAGCAAGAGACAATATTTAATGACTGAATAATGATGCTATGAATTTATATGAATAAAAAAATGTGAACTTTTTGCATCAGTCTAATAAAATCATATAACAAAATTGCAAATTGTGCATACATAAAATTTGACAAAAGAATAGAAAACTTAAAGTGCAGAATATATTTTCATAGATTGAAAATATGAAAAGGTCTTTTCTGTACAAATATTCTATCTACTTTTATATTAAGAAAGCTTTTTAAATAGTGGCCTTAACACAGCAATGCTTAGATGGGAAATACAATACCAGTAGAGTTGGGCAGTTTGGCAATTTATGTTTTGGCATCAGCTTCTGTTTTTTCTTCTTCTTGATACCGTGGTTTTCGATTCAGGTTTTTAATTTAGTATCTTTACTTTTTAAGGAAACCATTCATTTTCTTCTTTTTTTTTTTTTTAGTCAATATCTGATTTTGTTCGAGATTGATAAATTTGCAAATTAGTCCATTCAACTTGCAGTTTATCATATATTTTTTAAAATATTCATATGACTGGAAAGAAAATCTTTCTAAATATGTAATTTGTATGTACTTTTATTTGTTGAATTTTTTTTTTACAATGGGTTGTTTGCTTTGAACAACCGAAAATACGAAATATGATTCCCCCCACCCCAAGTAAATTTTACACTTTGATTTGCAAAATCAAAAAGTGACCAATCTTTATCAATATTCTTGAAATTGTACACTCAAGAAAACACATTAAACTACAACTAGGAAGATGTTCATTTCTTCTCTGACCTGTGGAAGTAAATTCCTTCAAAACTTATAAAGTAAGCAAAAAAAAAAATGTGTCTGACATCAAGTGACACTAGTTTTCAATTAAAATTTATTTATTAAACTTTCAAATAAATTGTCAACTATAAATAACTACCATATTTATTAACAAATTGGTAAAATACAAAAGAAATGGCCACATAAACTATTTATATTGTCTTTGGACAACACATTTGAGAGAGAAAATGGCATAGCTCTCCAGAAAATTAGTTTATGATATGGCTTTTAAAAAGCAAAAAAAAAATAAATAAATAAATGAACACCTCATGTTTTTAAAAATATGGCAATTCTTTTCTGGTACACCAGTCAACTGTTATTGGGGTTTTGCAAATAAATTTCTTCTAAACAAGGAAAATCAATGTGTTATTTTTTCACATAAATAAATTTATGTTTATCTAGCAAATACACAAAAATAATTAAAAGCATTTAATTTCATTTTTAGAATGTATAGATTTCCAAATCTGCAAGTATCACCTGTTCTTTTTAGATACACATTTTGAAACTGAAATTAAAAACTATTTTAATCATTTTAATCTTACTTATGTGTATTCACTAGATAAAACCATAAAGATATTTGTAAAAATAAATTTCCTTGTTTAGAAGAATTTTATAGGCAGAACACCCACCAAACTATAGTGGCTAAAAAAGAATAATTTTTACTTTGGGTTTAAGAAAAATGACTTGCAGTTTTGAAAAATATACACATTTTAAACCTGAGATTAAAACTTACTTTATTTTTTTAATATTTAATTTTAGGTGTATTCGCTAGATAGAAACATTTTATTTGTAGAAAACCAATTTTTTATCCAATTTTATTTTTAATTTTACACTAGAGACACATATATCTGGAAATATACAAATTTTAAAAGTGAAATTAAGAACTATTTTAATTTTTAATTCTTAATATCTAATTTAGGAGCATTCCCTAGATAAAAAAAACAAATTTATTTATAAAAAAAAAAAAATCTGCATTTTTCTTGTTTACGTCAACTTTTTTGTGATTGGTGTACTGGCTTACTAGGAAACCCTTACAAAAAATCTGAGTTCATAAAATTTAACATTAAGATGAAACTGGCAACTGTTTTTTTTATTTTACTCGCTAATTTGTTGTTAACTTAATCTTACCACAAAAAGTTTTTTTTTTTTTGAAAACTGAAACAAATAGAATTCAGACAATGTTGTATTTCCTTTTTTTCTTCATTTCTTTTGTAAACAAATAGATTTCATTTATTTCCTAAAACTAGTCAATTAAATGTTTTTAACATATTTTTGTTCAATCTTTTTCTCTTAAAATAACGGTATAAATGTTGATAAAATTTAATTTTATTAACATCTGAAAGTATTTTCAATAGTGTTCCTTTGAATATGGTCACTCAATAGTGACAACACTTAAAAAAAAAAAAAAATGAATGATTTCAGTTTCATAAAAAGTTGCGATGCAGTTTCACGGTATGAAAATGAAACTAAAAAAAAGCCGACTTTTTGGTTAAACCGCCCATCTCTAAATACCAGATATTTAATAATCCAGTCTTTCACTTTTCATTCGTGAATTTACAGACAGATATTTTAACAAAATTCCAAAAGGGAAAAATTATTCACCCCGTCCCACAAAACAAAAAGTCAAACAATCTAACTAGTGTATTCATGTATTTTATAAAACTCATTTTTTATTATTGGAAACTTTATAAAGTTTACAATAATAAAAAAGTTTTACAATAAAATGTACATTTTAGCCTTTTCAGTATATCACTTAAAATAAGTTGATTCCAAATTATTAATTAATAAATATTGGAAATATTACACACTAAAATTTTTGCTTGCTCATTAAAATTCTTCGGTTTTTAAGATTTCTTAACCAATTATTTATGCATTTGTTTAACAAAAACTGCAAATAGACTCCAACTAATTTATCTTCATCACTTGCCAAACATGGTTTAGATAGTGATTAGAGCATTAAAAAGTTCTTTTATACTCTAGTAAACAATATATACAATACATGGACCCCGATGACAGAAATCAAAGAAAATTTAAATGTAAAAAATAACTTTGACCTTTCAGTGTCTTGACTTTTCAACATCTACCAGATGCTGATAATTCATTTAGAAATTTAACAGCATAATTTAAAATTTGCTTCAGAAAAATGTCTCCCATACATTTCAATAGCTAAAGAAATTACACCCCAAAATGCAAAAAAAAAATAGAGGTAGCTCCTTGATAGTATGTAGCACTATCTATAACAGAGCTGTGGCTGCAAGGAATTTAATGATGCCTACAAGACATATGCATGCACAATGGGGTTTAAATTTGGCAAGCATGAGGGCCAATCACTCTGATATCATCTGCACTCAATAGGATATTGTATTACTGTGGAAACAACCCATTGCCATTGGAGAACTTAGCAAGGGTGCAAATGGACTGTAAGAAGATCTGGGTATATCACACCTGATAAGACAGACTCTAGTTTTAACAGTGGTTTTTGCAAATTCTAACATAACACACACTCACACGCAATTATAAACCCACTACCACCAGATTGCAGAATACCTTGCTGACAGATTATATCCATAACTTCCTTTAGTCTTCATGCACAAATTTGATCATCTCCCTAAAAGAACTAAAAACTGTTTCAGTCTTCTATAATCCAAAGACAATGTTCCCTGTCCTAGCCAAGACACAGTAACCAATGCCATAGTGTCAGTAATAATGGTACCCTTGGTAATCTATGGCTACAATATCCCACTGAATTCATTCTACATGATGCAGTATGTTGATTGATGAGCTGAGTCACACCAGAATGATTTAGAATGTAATTCGATGTTCCCTTTCATTGGGTGGGTACCATCCTTGTCAACTAACTATGGTCTCATTCATTGCCACTTATATTTGTCCAGAATTCATATATTCCTGGTATACGCACATTGCTACTCTTGCTCAAGGAAATCCTACAACAGTTATCACCTTGGAGATAGAGTGCTCCATCTTTCTGGTGCCAACAATCATTCTGTAATTAGTGTTAAATCATGTCCATATCACGTAACTGCTGCAGGTATACAACCTCTACATATATTCTCATCCAGCAAAGTCCATTTCTAGGGGGAGGGATAAAAACCATGTACCACTGTTTCTAACTTTTTGGCAGTTCAATTTATATTTTTCCTCAACAGAAACATTACTCTAAAACCACAATAAATAATTCACTCAAATATTCAAACTTCCAATGGATAAATGTAATTATAAGTTTTATGACACGACAAATTCTGTCCTAGCAACATCAAATTTATTGATTACTGATCTAAAAGAATGAATCCTACTTGAAACCACAGCACAAAAATAGCTGCAGAAAAATGGATGATACAAACAAAGACTATCCAATTAGATTATTACAGTTTCAAATCTCAAGTGTTCAGAAGCAGAGCAATTTCTTTATAGCCACTCCTTCCCACCTGAAAACAAAATACTAACCTATCAGTATCGAGGCAGCATTTTGCCAACAGGTACTTGCATTGCGCTGTATGACATCCCCGAGATTGCAACAGCAGGTAAGATTGGACAGGTTTTCCTGCCCGATAGTAACATGTTGCTAGAAGATATAAAGATTCTTCATTGGCCACTGAAACAAAAATAAGAATTCAACTTAGTAAAATCAAATGTTTATTTTTCATTTATGCAAATAAATGTTATAAATATTAAGTGTAAAGATTCTACAGATACTGAATGCCAATTTTAGCAGAGTTGTCACAGCAGATATTTATTATGATAACTTTAGCACAAGTTGTTATACAGGATTCAGCAAAAATACCTCCCAAATAATGGTAAGACATTAGTGACAATGGTGTCTTCATCTAGCTAATGTCTTACCATTATTTGGAAGATATTTCTCCCGATCCCTGTATTACTCATGTGTCAACTGAAATAGGTAAATGAAATATAAGTAGCATGAGGGAATTTCTTTATTATCTGCAAATAGGTTTGTTTTAAAAAAAAAAAAAAAAAAAAAAAAAAAAAAATTAAGAAAAGTTTCCCAACTAGTTTTCAAACTAGTTGGGAAACTTTTAATTTTTTTATAAAAAAGTTGATGTCAGGTAAACTATTTACAAAAAATAAAACTTAATTGGTTTCTGATTGTCCAAAGGGTTCTACAAATATCCCATCCAAAACATTCACCAAGTGAAGAAAACTGATCTACAAGACAACTTTCTCTTAAATTTCTATTTTAGGAAAAAAAATAGTGTACAGATTTAAAAAAAATTGACACAAATTAATTACTTGCTTTCTGATTAAATATTTTGTACTAAATTGAAAAAACTATAAATATGAGACAAAAACAAATGCAAGATATTTAAGGTGCGTTTAATGTAATAAATTTTCCATTTTATTTTATGGGAGATTACAAGAAACTAATTAAAATGTCAATCTAATAAAGGCATTTGCTAAATTATTTTTTTTTTTTACTTTGCATCCTGTAGACAGTTCAAACCAAAATTTAAATCTTTATTCCTCAGTAGTTCATAAGCATTCAGAGAGGACCTACTCTTGATACAAATATGTCTAATCAAAACATGTTTCTCCTTTTTTATATTAATTAGAGAATCTTGCTTGCTTGTCAACATTTTTCTAAGCATATTTTATTTGTAAAACTGGTGAAAAATTTATACATATATTTTAGAGAACCACTAACATTTCCTGAAAGATTTCTTTTCATTTTTTTAATGTTGAAATTTATAAATCAGATATTAATATAAAAATTTTTTTTTAAAAGGTGACATTCTGAGTATGAGTTCCTCAACTTTTCTTTATTAAGAACAGCTAAAATTCAATGAAGTTACTATATTTTAAAATTCATTGACATGTTTTTTAACAGTAGGAAAATGAAGGATTGTTGTTTTTTTTTATTATTATTATACATTTCTTATAATAAACATATCACTTGTTAGAAACTGGTTGGATATTACCAGAGCCATGAGTTTCACCAAACAAGTAGACACACAATAAATCTAAGCTAACTTTAAACATTAGAAAATATAATCTAAATCACCAGATAGCACTACTATTCAGGTTGAACATGTAGCTATGAACAGGAATACATGTAAATTCGTTACCAAAAGTAACAATAGGTGGAGGCAAATAACAATTGCAACATAAAATCCCCACTCTCAAATTATTTGTAATCAAGTCTCATCCAAATTGTTTCATTACATCAAATATTATGACAGGGATTTACATGAACATAGTACCAATTAATAGAAGTTTACAAATGTTCTCTATTAACACTAAATCTGATCTAATTGACACTATTCTACCATATTTCACTAATATTCAATGAAGTTATTTGCTTTGTTGGCAGTTGTTTGGGTGGTGGCTTATTAATCCTACATTTACTCATTTATATACATTAAGTTTTTCTTTTTGTTTTTTAAATAAAGTAACATTGCTTTCAATGAATCTAGACTATAGAGAGATTTTATTACACATAACCAAGAAATCAGTAAAATAGATAAGCAGGGTGGAGAAAGAAATTGAATCCTCTGGCGATACTAATTTCATATACTCATTGTCAAAATTTTATTTTCTGTTAATTTATCATTTTATTAAACTGGTTCTTAGTAATACAGGGACAATTTTGCAAGAAAGGTTTTAGCCATAAACAAATCTTTCTGGAAGTGATATTGAAGAACACATCAAAAAAGGTCTTAAAATACAGATAAAATGTATCAAGATAAAGTGTGGTTACCTTCGGAAAAAAGCCTTTCAGCAAGAAAGGTTGCATCTGTAACTGCATAGTGGTTCAGAGCATCCCAAATAGCAGCCTGAAGAGAGATGATACAAAAAAAAAAAAAAAGATTTTTAATATTTGAAGAAAGTCCAAAGGCAGTAAAAAATTTTAAGTTTTTGGGAGTATTTGGGTTTGTTTTTTTTTTTAGTTAGCTCACAACATATGTCCAGAGTACAAGCTAAAAATCTGAAACATGTATTAAAAAAAAAAAAAAAAAAAAATCATAATTAAACCAAACAGATCAGTTAAATTTCTGCCTCGTCTCTCAATGAAGCTAAATTATATAGCAAGCACCTAAAGTTAAATCTGCATATATATTCTGGTAATGGTTTGAAAATTTTAATTCAATCACAACTGAATATTTCTTGTAAATAAATTGTATTAAGCTTATCTTTTACTTTCTATTAAATGAAATGGAAATTTTGATTTAAAGAAGTGTGGGTGATTATGAATTAATACTAATAAAATTCAACATTTAATTGCATTAAATCAAAATTAAAATATTTGGGTGTCATTAGTAAAAATTACAGAAATTCAATCAATAAGTTTTAATTATTTTCCTCATAACTGGTTACCAGGCTGAGTGCAATGTCAGGTATCACACAAGTGAATAATATCTTTCAAAAACAAAGAGTATTTTCAAAATTTAATGCTGAAAAATGTATAAAAGTTTGTTTAATCTCCAGGTAAAGTTTGTTTTTAAAAGCACTACCATTAGAGTTGGTTGGTTTGGCAATTTTTGTTTCAGTATCAGTTCCGGTTTTTTAATTCCTTGATATTGCATTTTTTTTATTCAGTTTTTTGGTTTTTAATTTACTATTTTTGCTTTCTAAGGAAGCTATTCATTTCCAGTCAATATCTGATTTCATTTGAGATTGATAAATTTGCAACTCAGTCTGTTCAACTCGCAATATCTCATGTATTTTTGGCCCAATCTTAAAAATATTATGGCTGGAAAGAAAATAATCTTTCTAAATATGTAATTTGTGCTTTTATTCATTGAATTATTTTTTACATCAACTTAAAACTATTACTTTGTTTCACAAAATCAATGTGACAATCTTTATCAATATTCATGAACTTGTACACTCAATTAGAAGACACCTTAAACTACAACCAGGAAGATGTTCATTTCTTCTCTGACCCATGGAAGCAAATTCCTTCAAAAATTATCAAGTAAGCAAAAAAAAAAAAAAAAAAAAAAAAGAGTAATTTTTTTTGGTACACCAGTCAACTATTATTGAGGTTTTGCAAATAAATTTCTTCTAAACAAGGAAAATCAATGAGTTATTTTTCCCCTAAAATTAAATATTAAAAATAAGAGCTTTTAATTTCATTTTTAGAATGTGTATATTTCCAAATCTGCAATTATCACCCATTTTTTTTATATACACATTTTAAAACTGAAATTAAAAACTATTTTAATCATTTTACTATAATCTTACTTAAGTGCATTATTCGCCAGATAAAACAAAGATATTTGTAAAAATAAAATTAATTTTCCTTGTTTAGAAGAATTTTATAGGCAGAACAGTAACACACACTCACCAAACACTAGTGGCTAAAAAAGAATAATTTTTACTTTGTGTTTTAAAAAATGACTTGCAGTTTTGAAAATATACATATTTTAAAACTGAGATTAAAACTTACTTTATTTTTTTGATATGTAATTTTAGATGTATTCGCAAGAAATAATTTTATTTGTAGAAAACAGACTCACATATCTGGAAATATACACATTTTAAAAATGAAATTAAGAATTATTTTAATTATTCTTAATATCTAATTTAAGTGCATTCCCAAGATAAAAACAAGTTTATTCATAAAAAAAAAAGTCATCATTCATTTTTCTTATTTACAATAACTTTATTTTGTGATTGGCGTAACATTGGCTTAGAAAACAATTACCCTTGCTTGCCTTACAAAAAAAAAAAAAAAAAATCAAACTTCATAAAATTTAACATTAAGACGAAACTAGCAACTAGTTTTTTTTTTTACTCGCTATATTTATGTTAACTTAATTTTACCACAGAAGTTTTTTTTGAAAACTGAAACAAATAGATTTCAGACATCATGTCATATTTCCTTTTTTTTCTTCATTTTTTTTTTTTTGTAAACAAATAGATTTTATATTTATTTCCTAAAACTAGCCAATTAAACATTTTTAACATTTTTGTGCAATCTTTTTCTCTTAAAATTGTATAAACTGGTTAATTTTATTAACATCTGAAAGTTTTTTTCAGTAGTGCTTCTTTGGATATGGTCACTCAGTAGTGATAGCACTAAACTGAATGATTTTGGTTTCGTAAAAAATTTCGATGTGGTTTCGTGGTGTGAAGATGAAACCAAAAAAGTTGTCTTAAACTGCACATCTCTAACTACTATTTTGTCCAGAAGCATTAATACATTTTCTTAGCAAACATTTAGTATTGAATAGAAGAAAAAAGAAGAGAAAAGAAGGCTTCACCATCATTCTCAGAAATAAAAGTAAATTCAATAAATGGAAGTAAATAAATAGAAATAAATGTGTGAATTTCCTTAGTTAATAGAAAACAGTGAAAACATTTCATTAGTAACACCACTTCTAAGATACATTCACATGTTCACTAAGTATTTTTTTCTTTTTTTTAAAAACACACACACACAGATTTACATTATTTTCTTTTTCTCTTTATTTTATCACTAGCATAAATGTGGCGTCCAAAGTGCTATGACTCAGCTACTGATGCCGGTGCAGCATCTTTTATGGCTGTACCAGCCCACATGGGAGTGAGTCTCAATTGCAATAAATGCATGTGAGGGCACTCTCAACCGATGATGTGGTGTTTTCTTTCCTTTGAGCATGCTTCTTTCTGGCAGCAAGCCTCCATTTCTTCACTCCTCAAAACTATGTATAAGGGAAGTTTGTTTTATCTTAAACTAAATATCTATATATAAAATTATGTGACTTCTGTCCCTCACACTTTCTAAAATAGACATACATTAACTGATTGAAACCAAATTCTAGGGAGAAGTGCAAACAGATAAGGGGGTACAATGGAGGTTTTACTATGATGCATAAAAAACAGCATCAATTGGTTTGCAAAATTGATCAAAAATTTGAATTTGTTATTTCTAAACAGAAAATGTTAACAATAGCTTCAACAATACTAAATATTGTGAAGATTTCAACATGCTGATGAGTGTTTCAAAAAAAATTCTAGTATAACTAAAATTTTTGGTTGTATAATGAGCCTTCCAGAAATAAAAAATACTAATTATTCCTAATAGAAAATACAAACATTTTCTTAAAAACAAATTAAAATCATTTTAAAGGTGAGTGACATTAAAATTTATTACCCCCAGTGCATTTGTTCACAATTTGGCCTTTTGCTACAAGGTTCCCAACTGTATTTGTAGGTTACTCTTTACCAACAATAGTTGAAGGACTATTTTAGAGCTAAGCTGTAATAAGTATAACTAATTCAGTATTTGGCTGAAAACTATTATCATTAGACATCAAGTAAATGATTTGTATTTTAACAAGAGTTATAGTATGGGAAGTAAACAATAAGGCATATCAAATATTTTCTATTGTCTATAAGTTTGAAAAGTGTCATTAACATATCTAATATTACTTAAACACTCAAATATCTTCTTTGTGTAATTGCTATGGTTAACAGATTTCAGATGCTATATTTTTCAACCCTTGTTAGGTGTAAACCGTGAGAACAAAGGAATCTTCTTTCTGCAAGGAAAAATAAAACTACCAATGGAAATTGTCATATTAATCTACCCACAGGACTAGTTTATTTACACATGAGAAATATGATTACATTTATATGGAGATTCACCACCATCCACAAAGATCTATTCCCACATTTTACTCTGGTGAAGCTGTCCATCTGATTTAGATATGTGGATAATCTTTTATTTTGTGGTCACATCTGGAAGACATACAAATTCCTACTGGACATGAACCCAATTAGACTTTCTATACAGTTCATAATGGAGAAAGAGTACAATGATAAACTGCCTTTTTCTGGACATTGTAGTTACCCACACAAGAGGATATGGCACTAGAGTTTAAAAAAAAAAAAACAAGCAAAAGAACAATGCATACAGGGTTATATATCGACTAACCATCCTTTGTGTGAAGGAAGCATTTTTTCTCACCTTCAACACTAATTGCAGATATCAGTTTGTCCTAAATCAAGCTATGGTAGATTTCAATAATTTGGGGTTTTCTTTGCTTAGTTTGCTAAGTGTAGAGAAAAAAAAAAAAAAACAATCATTGATAGAATTTGGAATCATCTGGATACTTGGAAGGACTAGTTCAGTGGGTACATTAACAATTTCTATTATCAGCTTAGTTTCTCTTGAAGGATGCCTGCTTTGTTCTCACAGATTATACCAGAGGTGGACTAAATAATGGATTGACCAAAATACTGTGTTAATGACAAGAGATTCAAATGATCAAACAATGTTCAATAGGATTTTCTCTCCAATATGTACAAATGTCAGGTTTGATTTTTTTATTACGAAGAAAGAAGTAATATGACTTTTCTGATACTGAAAACAGACAAGTCAGCTAATCTGAGACCTAATTAACGTTGAAGTATTGATCTTAGCAGTCAAGTTTAATGTAACCTTCATTTAGTTCTTCTCATAAAAGTGGACCAGATGTGAACTTATTAGATCAATCATACCCATCTCCAGTAAAGTTAATGTCTAGATAAGAATAAAGCCAATCACTTGCTTAAATTATATTAGACATGATTATATATGGAGAAAATCAAGTGATACCAAGTAAAGCAAAAACGTATTTCTCTCTGGGATTTTTCCTTTAGAAAACCTAAGTTATAATTTTCTTTTAATTCTACATCACGACAAAAATTTTCAAATTGCAAATGTAGAATGTAACCAAATGAATTTATGAAGGCAAAAACATGGAAATGAAAAAAAAAAGACAGGTGTATAAAAGTTATAGAAAATTAAAAAAGAAATATAAGCATTTCATTGTGTTAAAATTACAAATTCAAAATATTACAAATA